TTCGAGCCTGACGTTTGGCAACTCGAACCTTCAGCTCCCTCCACAGATTTTCTATGGGATTAAGGTCTGGAGACTGGCTAGGCCACTCCAGGACCTTAATGTGCCTCTTCTTGAGCCACACCTTTGTTGCCTTGGCCGTGTGTATTGGATCATTATCATGCTGGAATACCCATCCACGACCCATGTTCAATGCCCTGGCGGAGGGAAGGAGGTTCTCACCCAAGATTTGACGTACATGGCCCCGTCCATCGTCCCTTTAATGCAGTGAAGTTGTCCTGTCCCCTTAGCAGAAAAACACCCCCAAAGCATAATGTTTCCACCTCCATGTTTGATCGTGGGTATGGTGTTCTTGGGGTCATAGGCAGCATTCCTCCTCCTCCAAACACAGCGAGTTGAGTTGACGCCAAAGAGCTCCATTTTGGTCTCATCTGACCACAACACTTTCACCCAGTTCTCCTCTGAATCATTCAGATGTTCATTGGCAAACTTCAGACGGGCCTGTATACGTGCTTTCTTGAGCAGGGGGACCTTGTGGGCGCTGCAGGATTTCAGTCCTTCACGTCGTAGTGTGTTACCAATTGTTTCTTGTTGACTATGGTCCCAGCTGCCTTGAGATCATTGACAAGATCCTCCCGTGTAGTTCTGGGCTGATTCCTCACCGTTCTCATGATCATTGCAACTCCACGAGGTGAGATCTTGCATGGAGCCCCAGGCCGAGGGAGATTGACAGTTCTTTTGTGTTTTTTCCATTTGCGAATAATCGCACCAACTGTTGTCACCTTCTCACCAAGCTGCTTGGCGATGGTCTTGTAGCCCATTCCAGCCTTGTGTAGGTCTACAATCTTGTCCCTGACATCCTTGGAGAGCTCTTTGGTCTTGGCCATGGTGGAGAGCTTGGAATTTGATTGATTATAATAATAATAATAATAATAATAATATGCCATTTAGCAGACGCTTTTATCCAAAGCGATTTACAGTCATGCGTGCATAAATTTTTGTGTATGGGTGGTCCCGGGGATCGAACCCACTACCTTGGCGTTACAAGCGCCGTGCTCTACCAGCTGAGCTACAGAGGACCACAATTGATTGATTGCTTCTGTGGACAGGTGTCTTTTATACAGGTAACAAACTGAGATTAGGAGCACTCCCTTTAAGTGTGTGCTCCTAATCTCAGCTCGTTACCTGTATAAAAGACACCTGGGAGGCAGAAATCTTTCTGATTGAGAGGGGGTCAAATACTTATTTCCCTCATTAAAATGCAAATCAATTTATAACATTTTTGACATGTGTTTTTCTGGATTTTTGTTGTCCTTCTGTCTCTCACTGTTCAAATAAACCTACCATTAAAATTATAGACTGATCATTTATGTTTAATTTTGTCTGGTTTAGCGTTCCAAATAAAATGAAATATTGTTTGCTCATATGAGTGCTTTTGAAATGGGATCAACAAAGATAAAACACAAAGCTCAATTGAAATAACACAAACTGCAACTAGTGGGTTTAAGATGTATGTTCTTTATTATTAATCGTAGCTAATTCCATGACAGGTTCAGAGAGATTCCACAGAGCAAAGAAGGTTAAGAGGCGCATCAAGGGCTCTATTCAATCAGATCCGCTTTAGCCAACATCTGCATAGCGGTTGTTTTGGCGCTGTCAGAGGTGGAACTGCGCTAGAGCTGTCAAATCCACAAGCGGCTCCTGGCATTATACCTATAGCGGACATTGCCATTGGCTGCAAGGAGTCGCATTAAGAGAAATCCCATGCAGCCTTGTTTACAAATTCTAACACTGGAATGTGAGATGTAATCTACACCTCGATTAGGCTGATCGAAATCATCATTATTTCATTTAATGTTTTACAATTTGAGCGTCATTATTTATATTTATACAATGGGTGGGTCTAATCCTGAATGCTGATTGGTTAAAAACGCATTCCAGCCGGTGTCTATTCCACAAGTTACCACCGGCTAAATCTATGACGTTAAAACGCAGATTTGTATAAACCTTGCTGTCTGTCTCTCCGACATTTGCAACATTGTTTGAATATTCAAATTCGATCTTCAGCTGTCCCATAGTAATGAACGTGTCGGGAGTCGGGACGAGACAGACAGACAGGCAGCGTTTCTCAGCCAGTCGAAATCATGAATCAGCTGGCATAATTTTTATGGATATATACAAAGAAATGTCAATTGAAAAAAGGTCAAATTAAACGAAGTGCAGCTAGTTTGCGGTCTTTCCAGCTTCAGTTTGAAGTGATTGTGTTAGCTGTGTTGTTGGCTAGCTCCTCTGAACAACAGTGTCCTGACGAGTGAGGACATTTTCTATGCCAGGTGAAATCGCGCCTCATTAGCTCATTGTTATGGATGTATCCAAATAAATGTCACTAGAAAACAACTTAAACAAATGCAAATGCAGCTACTTTGCTGTTATTCTGGCTGCACTTTTTGACGTGACTGTAAGTTAGCCGTAGTTGGCTAGCTAGCAAGCAAGGGATAAGAACGTTGCCAGCCATTATGGCAATGGAACATTTAGAACTAACGTCCATATTTACAAGACAAAAAGACTGAACGACTGGGTCGCGTCTCTGGCAACCAAACCGATAAAACGAACGACCAGCCAGCTTGGGTAGCAACCCTAGATTTGTGTCAGGACTATGTCTTGTGGAAGGATGAAATAGTATGAATAAATTAATCAAAATAAGGTTTTTAATGAAAATATGTCAGTCATTATTTGAATATGTTGGTAACCCGTTGTATAAAAGTGATAATGTCCTCGAAGCCGGTGTTTTGAGGATATATTGGCACGGTTTGCCGTTCCTCGACTTTGTCTTGGGCCTATCAACACCTGTGCCAATATATCCTCCAAACACAGTCTTCTCTGGCATTATCACTTAAATAGAACTTCTAACGTGAGTGGGATGGGTGTGGCTTCGGGGACAATGATCAAGAGCAGCTGTTCTCCAATGCAGTTTCACCTCCGACACTGCCAAAACATCAGCTAGGTTGTCGGCTATCGCCGGTTAATGCTTGATCTGATTTAATGTAGGCCCAAACTGGATTACTCAATGAATTAATCAATAAACAAACACACACAAACAAAGCCATCCAATAACATAAACCCCTCCCCCTACCAAGAAAATATTTCATTAAAGCTAATATTGATTCTCAACATACAAAGCAAACGCTTCTGTTTCAATGTGCATCACATGGGACACTGCAATACATTCAAGGTATCTTACTTTGGTACAAAACTCTTCACTTTATCATTATCAACCTTGCAAACTGTTCCATTCCAAACTAATTTTCAATGACTTTACTTCTTAACGTACTGTATGTGTCTTGCACATTCCTTCTTAGTCTTCATACATCAATATTCACTCTCTCTTTTGAAATGTTAATATTGTCTTCACATTCTAAATCTATTTTGTAGATTTACCCCAAGTACTCCTGTCATCCAAGAAATTGAGCATATCATAATTGTATACAAAATTGTATGATATGACACACAGGCAGCCATCAAACTAATATCATACTTGACAATGGAATTCAACTAGAATAATCCTGCTGAAATACTTAATTGTTAACAAACTGCTGATTAAAAACTGAAATACAATGTAATGTAAAATCAACTTCATGACACTCATCTGCCGCATCACTTCATGACTATAACACAATACATATATAACATATCTATACTATTAAATCTCTTTTGTTATACTGTTTCGATGTTGGACGATGAAGATATTAAAACAGATAATCAAGTAACTAAATTCTCAAATGTTTGTGAAACGTTCACACTTTCTTCATCTGCGTGGATGTGACTGACATGCACCTACACACATTTATTTTCCGAATAAGAAACCATTTGACAATATCTCCAAAACAAAGATACATTCTTTCTCCAAGCATCATCCTAATTTAAAAGTGGGAACCTACATTATGAGTGTACTCATTTGCATTCTTACAGTCAAAGAGGTCCTGTTTAACTGTTGATTATTTGTCAACATGTTCAATCTGAACTCAAGGGCACTTGTAAGATACAGCATGACCCTTCCACATTATACCCTGTGACTCAAGACACCCTCAGCTACTGTGAATCTAAGGTACTGGAGGTCAAGGCAGCCTTTGTATACACAGACTTGGTATACACAAATCCTCTGCAATGTCCATTAATTATGGGAACTATAGGAAAATGTAGCCATTGACATTGTAATATATAATGATAAAGACTAAATAGGCCGAATCAGAATGTCTTTAAGAATATTTTCAGGCAGATGTGGTACTATTCCTTGATTTGGGTTGCATTGATTGGTTGTTCACCGTTCTGGTAGCTCTTGCTGATCTTGTCTGAACCATTTAGCTAACAATTCTTTCTCAATACATTTATTCCGACTAATGTTTGTCAAGAACATTCTGATTATCAAAGATAGAAAATGCAACTGAGCACTATGGTGTGCATACTGTAGCACCCAAAATCATGGGTAAAGATGTTATCAGTAGTGTCACTTTGTTCATAAAAAATTGCTGAGAAGAGACATCATCTCCACAAATGTCATTATCCTAGGGAAAGATAAAATTACACATGTATTAGATGTTTAGAGAAGATATATGGTTGATGTACTTGGATACAAGAGGCTCAGATGAAAACATTGTGAGATTGTTAGCATAAAAAAAGAAAGCAGAGGTTTGGAACTTTGAGCTGGCATCCAGTCCTTGAGAAACGTATATCACCCCATGAAATACACAAAGAACCATTGTGTGGCTTCATGTAGGCTTAGTATATGGACTCTATGGTGGAGACAGAGAGGTTAGGTCCTCAATATTCAGAACCGGTGCTGGATTAGTGATTTTATGTCCATTTGGCTGAAAAGGTCAAGTCACACCTCATCTCACCAAGTTAGGGAGCCAAGGGCTCGGTCCAAAGACCTGCCTCATTTAGATTGCGTACTTCCTTTCAGGCAACAGCTCCTGCCTTCATGCATTTGACATATGAAGCCGTGCTCACTGTGTGACCGGTGTCATGGGCAAAGGGGGTATAGGGCTAGTGGGTGACCGGGGAGAGCTCTGGTATGACCGGAGAAGGACTTTGTGCTTTGTGGCCACCCCCGCCCGCAGGCTCTGCTGCTCGTCCAGATATTCCTTGAGGCGCGTGGTGGTGAAGGTGAGGGTCTGCCGTCGCAGCCGCATCAGGTAGGCATCCTGGAGCCATGAGTTGTTGTAGCAGTCCTTGATGGAAGGACGGGCCCTGAAACAGAGGTTACAACCAGGGTCAAGGAGCACTAACTCAAAATCACAAACTATCCCATAATTACATAAATGTGATACGACACACAATTATTTGTACATTATTCATTCATTACAAGCTATGGCAACCATTGGCAGGAAATTGCGCCGGAGGAGATGGCTGCCGTTTTACGGACTCCTAACCAATTGTGCTATTGTCTGCGTTTTTTGTGTGTTATTTGTAACTTATTTTGTACATAATGTTTCTGCCACCGTCTCTTATGACCGAAAAGAGCTTCTGGATATCAGGACAGCGATTACTCACCTCGTACTGGACAAATATTTTTTCATTAACGAGATAAGACGCAAAGGATTTTCTTCTGACACCGGCCCAAATCCCTGTCATTCGCATGAGAAAGAGACGGAGATATCGGGGATGTAGGTCAGGGTGTCTTGTAAGGATAATAATAATAATAATAATAATAATAATATGCCATTTAGCAGACGCTTTTATACAAAGCGACTTACAGTCATGCGTGCATACATTTTTGTGTATGGGTGGTCCCGGGGATCGAACCCACTTCCCTGGCGTTACAAGCGCCGTGCTCTACCAGCTGAGCTACAGAGGATCCGATGGCGAGTGCATAATATTACTCTACCATCAGTCCTATTAGCCAACGTACAATCATTGAATAACAAAATAGACAAACTAAGATCACGGATATCCTACCACCAACGGCACATAAAAAAAACAAAACTGTAATATCTTATGTTTCACAGAGTCGTGGCTAAACGACGACATGGATAACATACAGCTGGAGGGATATACGCTGCATCGGCAAGATAGAACAGCTGCCTCCGGTAAGAGAAGGGGTGGCAGTCTGTGTATATTTGTAAACAACAGCTGGTGCACGAAATCTAATACTAAGGAAGTTTCGAGGTTTTGCTCGCCTGAGGTAGAGTATCTCATGATAAGCTGTAGACCACACTATTTACCAATCTATTTTATCTACCAGCATTTAAATGTGCAACCAGAGGAAAAAATACTCTAGACCACCTTTACTCCACACACAGAGAAGCGTACAAAGCTCTCCCTCGCCCTCCATTTGGCAAATCTGACCATAACTCTATCCTCCTGATTCCTGCTTACAAGCAAAAACTAAAGCAGGAAGTCCAGTGACTCGCTCAATACGGAAGTGGTCAGATGACGCTGATTCTAAGCTACAGGACAGTTTTGCATGCACAGACTGGAATATGTTCCGGGATTCTTCTGATGGCATTGAGGAGTACACCACATCAGTCACTGGCTTCATCAATAAGTGCATCGATGACGTCGTCCCCACAGTGACCGTATGTACATACCCCAAACGGAAGCCATGGATTACAGGCAGCATCCGCACTGAGCTAAAGGGTAGAGCTGCTGTTTTCAAGGAGCGGGACTCTAACCCGGACGCTATTAAGAAATTCCGCTATGCCCTCCGACGAACCATCAAACAGGCAAAGCGTCAATACAGGACTAAGATTGAATCGTACTACACCGGCTCCGACGCTCGTCGGATGTGGCAGGGCATGCAAACTATTAAAGACTACAAAGTGAAGCACAGCTGCGAGCTGCCCAGTGACACGAGCATACCAGACGAGCTAAATTACTTCTATGCTCGCTTCGAGGCAAGCAACACTGAAGCATGCATGAGAGCATCTGCTGTTCCGGATGACTGTGTGATCACGCTCTCCGTAGCCGATGTGAGTAAGACCTTTAAACAGGAAGAGGGCATGACAAAGCCTATTTCCCCTCAGGAGACTGAAAAGATTTTGTATGGGTCCTCAGATCCTAAAAAAGCTCTACAGCTGCACCATTTAGAACATCCTGACTGGTTGCATCACTGACTGGTATGGCAACTGCTCGGCCTCCAAACGCAAGGCACTACAGAGGGTAGTGAGTACAGCCCAGGACCTCTATACCAGGCGGAGTCAGAGGAAGGCCCTACAAAATTGTCAAAGATTCCAGCCACCCTAGTCATAGACTGTTCTCTCTGCTACCGCATGGCAAGCGGTACCGGAGCGCCAAGTCTAGGTCCAAACGGCTTCTTAACAGCTTCTACCCCAAGCCATAAGAGTATTTGCATTGTCCCACCCCCTCTTTTACGCTGCTGCTACTCTCTGTGTATTATCTATGCATAGTAACTTTAACTCTGTACATATTACCTCAATTACCTCAACTAAATTGTGCCCCCGCACATTGACTCTGTACCGATACCCCCTGTATATAGCCTCGCTACTGTTATTTTACTGCTGCTCTTTAATTATTATTATTTAAACATTTTTACTTTACTTCTTTTTACATAACACTTTTTTTTTTTTTTTTACCGCATTGTTGGTTAAAGGCTTGTAAGTAAGCATTTCATTGTAAGGTCTACACCTGTTGTATTCGGTGCATGTGACAAATACAATTTGATTTGATTTGATCGGGTGTAAGTGTGAAGACGTCAATTCCTCAATCCTGCATTATCAACCGCAGCAAAATATGTGTACAGGTCAAGTTAACAACATCCAATGTATGTAATGTTGTGGAGTGAGCCAGAGGCCATTGCGTTGATTTAATTGAGTTGTGCTCCTACTTTATTGCTATGACAAAGAAAATAAGGACTAACTGCTGATGTCAGTGCGGACACTAAATAATATAATTAATGGACCAATTCATCTAAAGAAAGGGCACTTAATTGGTATCAATTATCAACTGCACTTACCAAGGGAAGCTACACAGGATCTTCTTCAAAAACAGAGAGGCACTTTGAGACACATTCTGGTAGAGTTTGACCACGTCAAACTTTGCTGCCAGGATTCTGGCTTCAGCCTCCTGTGGATCATTCTCCATGAAGGGCAACCTGCCACTTAGCCTGAAAACGTTTCAAATGGGTTTCAAATAAACATAAGGGACAGAGCATTTGAAATGAACAAATTAACACAGTCAAAGATGAATGTGTAACAATTTGTGTGTTGAGACATTTCAATGCACTTTAAAGTTTGTATTAATGTAAAGCAGGTGTCCATCTGTTACATTGTGTAGATAGCTGCACTGTTCTTGTCAGTTCCACTTCAGCTCAGGAAATTAAGTGAAAATGGATTCATTACTTTAAAAAAACCTTACAGAACTGTATAGAGACAAATCGCTACTTATGAATGGTACTTGAATGAACTGGGAATTGGCTTGAGTTTCAAATGAGTTCAAATTGCATTGGCCCAAAGCCTTGGCCATACTCACATGATGAAGGTCAACACACCCACACTCCAAATATCAGCCGGAGGGCCCACCACATCCCCTTTCAACATCTCAGGAGCTTTAAGGAAAGGTTAGGAAAAAGAGAACAGGTTAGGCAAAGGTTAGTTTGAGAACGTTCAGGCATTCAGGACACATAAAGGGGCGCAACTAGGGTGTGTTCACATACTGTACCTGGTATTAACATATGATTAATCTGTTCACCGCTGCATCTGTACATGGTATTATAAGCCATCCCTTACCGTCTGTGTCCACATTGTGTCACAGAGACAGAGCGGTTGGCTACAGAGCATTTGCTGCACAGAACACATTTTGCTTGAAATTGAAATTCCCTGTTAAAAAATGTCATTTTAATAAATATTATTATACACAAGGATTTCCTATTATACATGTTTGATTGATAAATTGATAAACTTTCAACCGGTTTTCCCCATTATGTAGCGAGTCGGAGTCTGAGTCTGAGTCTTCTCTTGTCTCTACTCCTCCCGTTACGGGGTCTGAGACGCCGAAGGCTCCCACCATTAGCTCTGACAAATTGAAAACCCTAGTCATTGGCGACTCCATTACCCGCAGTATTAGACTTAAAACGAATCACCCAGCGATCATACACTGTTTACCAGGGGGCAGGGCTACCGACGTTAAGGCTAATCTAAAGATGGTGCTGGCTAAAGCTAAAACTGGCGAGTGTAGAGAGTATAGAGATATTGTTATCCACGTCGGCACCAACGATGTTAGGATGAAACAGTCAGAGGTCACCAAGTGCAACATAGCTTCAGCGTGTAAATCAGCTAGAAAGATGTGTCGGCATCGAGTAATTGTCTCTGGCCCCCTCCCAGTTAGGGGAAGTGACGAGCTCTACAGCAGAGTCTCAGCACTCAATCGCTGGTTGAAAACTGTTTTCTGCCCCTCCCAAAAGATAGAATTTGTGGATAATTGGCCCTCTTTCTGGGACTCACCCACAAACAGGATCAAGCCTGACCTGCTGAGGAGTGACGGACTCCATCCTAGCTGGAGGGGTGCTCTCCTCTTATCTACCAACATAGATAGGGCTCTAACTCCTCTAGCCCCACAGTGAAATAGGGTGCAGGCCAGGCAGCAGGCTGTTAGCCAACCTGCCAGCTTAGTGGAGTCTGCCAATAGCACAGTCAGTGTAGTCAGCTCAGCCATACCCATTGAGACTGTGTCTGTGCCTCGACCTAGGTTGGGCAAAACTAAACATGGCGGTGTTCACCCTAGCAATCTTATTAGGATAAAGACCTCCTCCATTCCTGCCATTATTGAAAGAGATCGTGATACCTCACATCTCAAAATAGGGTTACTTAATGTTAGATCCCTCACTTCAAAGGCAGTCATAGTCAATGAACTAATCACTGATCATAATCTTGATGTGATTGGCCTGACTGAAACATGGCTTAAGCCTGATGAATTTGCTGTGTTAAATGAGGCCTCACCTCCTGGTTACACTAGTGACCATATTCCCCGTGCATCCCGCAAAGGCGGAGGTGTTGCTAACATTTACGATAGCAAATTTCAATTTACAAAAAAAAAAATGGCGTTTTCATCTTTTGAGCTTCTAGTCATGAAATCTATGCAGCCTACTCAATCACTTTTTATAGCTACTGTTTACAGGCCTCCTGGGCCATATACAGCGTTCCTCTCTGAGTTTCCTGAATTCCTATCAGACCTTGTAGTCATAGCAGATCATATTCTAATTTTTGGTGGTTTTAATATTCACATGGAGAAGTCCACAGACCCACTCCAAAAGTCTTTCGGAGCCATTATCGACTCAGTGGGTTTTGTCCAACATGTCTCTGGACCTACTCACTGCCACAGTCATACTCTGGACCTAGTTTTGTCCCATGGAATAAATGTTGTAGATCTTAATGTTTTTCCACAAAATCCTGGACTATCGGACCACCATTTTATTACGTTTGCAATCGCAACAAATAATCTACTCAGACCCCAACCAAGGAGCATCAAAAGTCGTGCTATAAATTCTCAGACAACACAAAATTCCTTGATGCCCTTCCAGACTCCTTCTGCCTACCCAAGGACGTCAGAGGACAAAAATCAGTTAACCACTTAACTGAGGAACTCAATTTAACCTTGCGCAATACCCTAGATGCAGTTGCACCCCTAAAAACGAAAAACATTTGTCATAAGAAACTAGCTCCCTGGTATACAGAAAATACCCGAGCTTTGAAGCAAGCTTCCAGGTAATTGGAACGGAAATGGCGCCACACCAAACTGGAAGTCTTCCGACTAGCTTGGAAAGACAGTACCGTGCAGTACCGAAGAGCCCTCACTGCTGCTCGATCATCCTACTTTTCCAACTTAATCGAGGAAAATAAGAACAATCCAAAATTTCTTTTTGATACTGTTGCAAAGCTAACTAAAAAGCAGCATTCCCCAAGAGAGGATGGCTTTCACTTCAGCAGTAATAAATTCATGAACTTCTTTGAGGAAAAGATCATGACCATTAGAAAGCAAATTACGGACTCCTCTTTGAATCTGCGTATTCCTCCAGGGCTTAGCTGTCCTGGATCTGCACAGCTCTGCGAGGGCCTGGGATCGGGAGAGACACTTAAGTGTTTTAGTACTATATCTCTTGACACAATGATGAAAATAATCATGGCCTCTAAACCTTCAAGCTGCATACCTGATCCTATTCCTACTAAACTGCTGAAGGAGCTGCTTCCTGTGCTTGGCCCTCCTATGTTGAACATAATAAACAGCTCTCTATCCACCGGATGTGTACCAAACTCACTAAAAGTGGCAGTGATAAAGCCTCTCTTGAAAAAGCCAAACCTTGACCCGGAAAATATAAAAAACTATCGGCCTATATCGAATCTTCCATTCCTCTCAAAAATTTTTGAAAAAGCTGTTGCGCAGCAACTCACTGCCTTTCTGAAGACAAACAATGTATACGAAATGCTTCAGTCTGGTTTTAGACCCCATCATAGCACTGAGACTGCACTTGTGAAGGTGGTAAATGACCTTTTAATGGCATCAGACCGAGGCTCTGCATCTGTCCTCGTGCTACTAGACCTTAATGCTGCCTTTGACACCATCGATCACCACATTCTTTTGGAGAGACTGGAAACCCAAATTGGTCTACACGGACAAGTTCTGGCCTGGTTTAGATCTTACCTGTCGGAAAGATATCAGTTTGTCTCTGTGAATGGTCTGTCCTCCGACAAATCAACTGTACATTTCGGTGTTCCTCAAGGTTCCGTTTTAGGACCACTATTGTTTTCACTATATATTTTACCTCTTGGGGATGTTATTCGAAAACATAATGTTAACTTTCACTGCTATGCGGATGACACACAGCTGTACATTTCAATGAAACATGGTGAAGCCCCAAAATTGCCCTCGCTAGAAGCCTGTATTTCAGACATAAGGAAGTGGATGGCTGAAAACTTTCTACTTTTAAACTCGGACAAAACAGAGATGCTTGTTCTAGGTCCCAAGAAACAAAGAGATCTTCTGTTAAATCTGACAATCCATCTTGATGGTTGTAAAGTCGTCTCAAATAAAACTGTGAAGGACCTCGGCGTTACTCTTGACCCTGATCTCTCTTTTGACGAACATATCAAGACTGTTTCAAGGACAGCTTTTTTCCATCTACGTAACATTGCAAAAATCAGAAATTTTCTGTCCAAAAATGATGCAGAAAAATTAATCCATGCATTTGTTACTTCTAGGTTAGACTACTGCAATGCTCTACTTTCCGGCTACCCGGATAAAGCACTAAATAAACTTCAGTTAGTGCTAAATACGGCTGCTAGAATCCTGACTAGAACCAAGAAATTTGATCATATTACTCCAGTGCTAGCTTCCCTACACTGGCTTCCTGTTAAGGCAAGGGCTGATTTCAAGGTTTTACTGTTAACCTATAAAGCGTTACATGGGCTTGCTCCTACCTATCTTTCCGAGTTGGTCCTGCCGTACATACCAATACGTACGCTAAGGTCACAAGACGCAGGCCTCTTAATTGTCCCTAGAATTTCTAAGCAAACAGCGGGAGGCAGGGCTTTCTCCTATAGATCTCCATTTTTATGGAACAGTCTGCCTACCCATGTGAGAGACGCAGACTCGGTCTCAACCTTTAAGTCTTTACTGAAGACTTATCTCTTCAGTAGGTCATATGATTGAGTGTAGTCTGGCCCAGGAGTGTGAAGGTGAACGGAAAGGCTCTGGAGCAACGAACAGCCCTTGCTGTCTCTGCCAGGCCGGTTCCCCTCTCTCCACTGGGGTTCTCTGCCTCTAACCCTGTTACAGGGGCTGAGTCACTGGCTTGCTGGTGCTCTTTCATGCCATCCCTAGGAGGGGTGCGTCACTTGAGTGGGTTGAGTTACTGACGTGATCTTCCTGTCTGGGTTGGCGCCCCCCCTTGGTTTGTGCTGTGGTGGAGACCTCTGTGGGCTATACTCGGCCTTGTCTCAGGATTGTAAGTTGGTGGTTGAGGATATCCCTCTAGTGGTGCGGGGGCTGTGCTTTGGCAGAGTGGGTGGGGTTATATCCTTCCTGTTTGGCCCTGTCCGGGGGTTTCTTCGGATGGGGCCACAGTGTCTCCGGACCGCTCCTGTCTCAGCCTCCAGTATTTATGCTGCAGTAGTTTATGTGTCGGGGGGCTGGGGTTAGTTGGTTATACCTGGAGTACTTATCCTGTCTTATCCAGTGTCCTGTGTGAATTTAAGTATGCTCTCTCTAATTCTCTCGTTCTCTCTTTCTCTCTGAGAACCTGAGCCCTAGGACCATACGTCAGGACTACCGGACATGATGACACCTTGCTGTCCCCAGTCCGCCTGGCCTTGCTGCTATTCCAGTTTCAACTGTTCTGCCTGCGGTTATGGAACCCCTACCTGTCCCAGACCTGCTGTTTTCAACTCTTAATGATCGGCTATGAAAAGCCAACTGAGATTTATTCCTGATTATTATTTGACCATGCTTGTCACTTATGAACATTTTTGAACATCTTGGCATGGTTCTGTTATAATCTCCACCCGGCACAGCCAGAAGAGGACTGGCCACCCCTCATAGCCTGGTTCCTCTCTAGGTTTCTTCCTAGGTTTTGGCCTTTCTAGGGAGTTTTTCCTAGCCACCGTGCTTCTACACCTGCATTACTAGCTGTTTGGGGTTTTAGGCTGGGTTTCTGTACAGCACTTCGAGATATTAGCTGATGTAAGAAGGGCTATATAAAATAAAATTGATTGATTGATTGAATCAGGTATGTTAGTGCCAGGCTAAAACAATAACTTTCAACCCCTATGTTTCAACCCTCAGGATTGGGTTGAGACACACCGATTTAGATCATTCTTATGACTTACACATATACTCCAGAGTTCCAACAGGTGGGTTGAACTGCTTGAGGAAGAGTGGATTAAAAGTCTGGGCACTGCCAAAGTCGATGATCTTCACCACGTTCATGTAGGTGATGATGATGTTCTCCGGCTTGATGTCTAAGTGCAGGATGCAGCGGTTGTGCAGGTAGTCCAAACCCTGCAGGACCTGAACGACGTAGCCCACCACGTCATCCTCTGAGTAGCGGAATCTAGGGGGACAACAAAGGATGAGAGTGTTGGGGTCAATTCCATTTCAATTCTATCAATTGAGAAAGTAAACTGAAATTTCAATTTCTTCTGATCTGACTTGAATTTAATTTATTTGGGTAAAAAAAGAATACCACAAAATATGCATTGCATCCCCAGATGATAGCCCTTTAAAGCATTAATTGAAACACTCATTTCCAAAGTGGCCCTTGATGGTAAATTGCTTTTCAATGAAGAAATCAAATGGAATTGACCCCAACCCTGGCCCAGGCACACTACACTGAGCAAAAGTAATCATTACATACAAAATCATACAACAGAAAAAAGCTAATTATTTCCATTAGTTGGTCCACGTAAGAATTTATGCTGTGTGACCTGTCGATAAGGCTGTAGAGGAGCTCTTTCCCACTGCAGCACTCCGAGATGAGCACCAGATAGCGGGGCGTGACATAGGCTTCGTGCAGAGCCATAATCTTGTCGTGGTGGAGGGACTTGAGGATGTCGTACTCCTGCAGCACCATCTGTTTGCTGTCTGCCTCGTAGGGCACGATCTTAGCCATGAACAGGTTGCCCGTGGCGTTCTCTCTACACTCTCGGATCACGCCAAAGCGGCCCCTTTAAGACAAACAAAGAGACAACCTTGAGTTGACACTTCAAAAAAAGCCAGCAAGTATAACTGTGTACAAACCTTTAAAATGTTGTATAATGAGGCTTATAATATAGACTGTATGATGTCTCTCTAAATGTATCAACATTACAACTGACTCAATAGTCATTCTAACTGAATTAGAGATTGAACCCCTACCTACAGTGAGGGGAAAAAAGTATTTGATCCCCTGCTGATTTTGTACGTTTGCCCACTGACAAAGAAATTATCAGTCTATAATTTTAATGGTAGGTTTATTTGAACAGTGAGAGACAGAATAACAACAAAATAATCCAGAAAAACGCTTTAAAAAAATGTTATCAATTGATTTGCACTTTAATGAGGGAAATAAGTATTTGACCCCTCTGCAAAACATGACTTAGTACTTGGTGGCAAAACCCTTGTTGGCAATCACAGAGGTCAGACGTTTCTTGTAGTTGGCCACCAGGTTTGCACACATCTCAGGAGGGATTTTGTTCCACTCCTCTTTGCAGATCTTCTCCAAGTCATTAAGGTTTCGAGCCTGACGTTTGGCAACTCGAACCTTCAGCTCCCTCCACAGATTTTCTATGGAATTAAGGTCTGGAGACTGGTATAGTGTATGATGAATTATGACTTTGCTAATGTTTTCAAGTGGAACCTGAGAGGAGGTTTATTCAGTGTTAGAGGGAGTAGTTTTGTGGTGACACACCATAGAACAGAGGAAGTCTGGTGTGTGGACTACTGGGATTGGTCTGTAGGGGAACACCCATATCAGATTACATAGCATACAGTCATGGCCAAAATTGTTGGCACCCCTGAAATTTTTCCAGAAAATGAAGTATTTCTCACAGAAAAGTATTGAAATTACACATGTTTTGCTATGCACATGTTTATTTCCTTTGTGTGTATTGGAATAACACAAAAAAAAACAGGAAAAAAGCAAATTTGACATAATTTCACACAAAACTAAAAAAATGGGCCGGACAAAGTTATTGGCACCCTTTCAAAATTGTGGATAAATAAGTTTGTTCCAAGCATGTGATGCTCCTTTAAACTCACCTGGGGCAAGTAACAGGTGTGGGCAATCTAAAAATCACACCTGAAAGCAGATAAAAAGGAGAGAAGTTGACTCAGTCTTTGCATTGTGTTTCTGTGTGTGCCACACTAAGCATGGAGAACAGAAAGAGGAAAAGAGAACTGTCTGAGGACTTGAGAACCAAAATTGTGGAAAAATATCAACAATCTCAAGGTTACAAGTCCATCTCCAGAGATCTAGATGTTCCTTTGTCCACAGTGCGCAACATGATCAAGAAGTTTGCAACCCATGGCACTGTAGCTAATCTCCCTGGACGTGGACGGAAGAGAAAAATTGATGAAAGGTTGCAACGCAGGATAGTCCGGATGGTGGATAAGCAGCCCCAAACAAGTTCCAAAGAAATTCAAGCTGTCCTGCAGGCTCAGGGTGCATCAGTGTCAGCGCGAACTATACGTCGAAATTTGAATGAAATGAAACGCTATGGCAGGAGACCCAGGAGGACCCCACTGCTGACACAGAGACATAAAAAAGCAAGACTACAGTTTGCCAAAATGTACATGAGTAAGCCAAATTCCTTCTGGGAGAACGTCTTATGGACAGATGAGACCAAGATAGAGCTTTTTGGTAAAGCACATCGTTCTACTGTTTACCGAAAATGTAATGAAGCCTTCAAAGAAAAGAACACAGTACCTACAGTCAAATATGGTGGAGGTTCAAAGATGTTTTGGGGTTGTTTTGCTGCCTCTGGCACTGGGTGCCTTGACTGTGTGCAAGGCATCATGAAATCTGAGGATTTCCAAAGGATTTTGGGTCGCAATGTAGGGCCCAGTGTCAGAAAGCTGGGTTTGCGTCCGAGATCATGGGTCTTCCAGCAGGACAATGACCCCAAACATACTTCAAAAAGCACCCAGAAATGGATGGCAACAAAGCGCTGGAGAGTTCTGAAGTGGCCAGCAATGAGTCCAGATCTTAATCCCATTGAACACCTGTGGAGAGATCTTCAAATTGCTGTTGGGAAAAGGCACCCATCCAATATGAGAGACCTGGAGCAGTTTGCAAAAGAAGAGTGGTCCAAAATTCCGGGTGAGAGGTGTAAGAAGCTTATTGATGGTTATAGGAAGCGACTGATTTCAGTTATTTTTTCCAAAGGGTGTGCAACTAAATATTAAGTTAAGGGTGGCCAATCATTTTGTTCCGGCCCATTTTTTTGAGTTTGTGTGAAATTATGTCAAATTTGCTTTTTTCCTGTTTTTTTTGTGTTATTCCAATACACACAAAGGAAATAAACATGTGCATAGCAAAACATGTGTAATTTCAATACTTTTCTGTGAGAAATACTTCATTTTCTGGAAAAATTTCAGGGGTGCCAACAATTTTGGCCATGACTGTATATACCACAGTTGGGACAAAAGAGGTCAGAATATTCTCCGGGTATCTGCAGGTATCTGTAAATCGACGCTGTAACCCTTTGTTATGAATAAACCCTATGATGAAAATACAGCGTCAGCGGGTCCTCCTTGGTCTTCACAGCATAATTAGCAACGTTAACTCGACACTACACTGGCTAGGCCACTCCAGGACCTTAATGTGCTTCTTCTTGAGCCACTCCTTTGTTGCCTTGGCCTTGTGTTTTGGGTCATTGTCATGCTGGAATACCCATCCACGACCCATTTTCAATGCCCTGGCTGAGGGAAGAAGGTTCTCACCCAAGATTTGACAGTACATGGCGCCGTCCATCGTCCCTTTGATGCGGTGAAGTTGTCCTGTCCCCTTAGCAGAAAAACACCCCCAAAGCAAAATGTTTCCACCTCCATGTTTGACGGTGGGGATGGTGTTCTTAGGGTCATAGGCAGCATTCCTCCTCCTCCAAACACGGTGAGTTGAGTTGACGCCAAAGAGCTCAATTTTGGTCTCATCTGACCACAACACTTTCACCCAGTTCTCCTCTGAATCATTCAGATGTTCATTGGCAAACTTCAGACGGGCCTGTATATGTGCTTTCTTGAGCAGGGGGACCTTGCGGGCGCTGCAGGATTTCAGTCCTTCACGGCGTAGTGTGTTACCAATTGTTTTCTTGGTGACTATGGTCCCAGCTGCCTTGAGATCATTGACAAGATCCTCCCGTGTAGTTCTGGGCTGATTCCTCACCGTTCTCATGATCATTGCAACTCCACGAGGTGAGATCTTGCATGGAGCCCCAGGCCGGGGAGATTGACAGTTATTTTGTGTTTCTTCCATTTGCAAATAATCGCACCAACTGTTGTCACCTTCTCACCAAGCTGCTTGGCGATGGTTTTGTAGCCCATTCCAGCCTTGTGTAGGTCTACAATCTTGTCCCTGACATCCTTGGAGAGCTCTTTGGTCTTGACCATGGTGGACAGTTTGGAATCAGATTGATTGATTTCTTCTGTGGACAGATGTCTTTTATACAGGTAACAAACTGAGATTAGGAGCACTCCCTTTAAGAGTGTGCTTCTAATCTCAGCTCGTTACCTGTATAAAAGACACCTGGGAGCCAGAAATCTTTCTGATTGAGAGGGGGTCAAATACTTATTTCCCTCATTAAAATGTAAATCAATTTATATATAAATAATGTGTTTTTTCTGGATTTTTTTGTTGTTATTCTGTCTCTCACTGTTCAAATAAACCTACCATTAAAATTATAGACTGATAATTTCTTTGTCAGTGGGCAAACGTACAAAATCAGCAGGGGATCAAATACTTTTTTCCCTCACTGTCCATGTACAAATTTCCTCGTCTAACCTGTACCCCCGCACATTGACTCAGTACCGGTACCCCTTGTATATAGCCTTTTTATTGTTATTTTATTATTGTTCTTTCCAGGGAAATGCATTAAATAGATAATAATAATAATAATAATAATAATAATAATAATAGTAATCATAATAATAATAATAATAACTGACCAAAAATATAAACGCAACATGTAAAGTGTTGGTCCCATGTTTTATGAGCTGAAATAAAAGATTCCAGAAATGTTTCAAACGTACAAAAAACAAATATTTTCAAATTCTTTGCAAAAAGGTGTTGTGCTGGGGACAATAAAAGGCCACCGTAAAATGTGCAGTTTTGACACGTAAGACAATGCCACAGATGTCTAAAATTTTGAGGGAGCGTGCAATTGGCATGCTGACTGCAGGAATGTCCACCAGAGCTGTTGCCAGAGAATTTAATGTTCATTTCTCTATAATAAGCCGCCTCCAACGTTGTTTTAGAGAATTTGGCAGTACGCCCAACCGGCCTCACAACCACAGACCACGTGTAACCACGTCAGCCCAGGACCTCCACATTCGGCTTCTTCACCTGCGGGATCGTCTGAGATCAGCCACCCAGACAGCTGATGAAACTGTGGGTTTGCACAACCGTAGCATTTCTGCACAAACTGTCAGAAACGGTCTCAGGGATACTCGTCTTCCTGCTCGTCGTCCTCACCAGTGTCTTGACCTGACTGCAGTTCGGCGTCGTAACTGACTTCAGTCGGCAAATGCTCACCTTCGATTGCCACTGGCACGCTGGAGAAGTGTGCTCTTCACGGGTGAATCCCAGTTTCAACTGTACCGGGCAGATGGCAGACAGCGTGTATGGCGTCGTGTGGGTGAGCGGTTTGCTGCTGTAAACGTTGTGAACAGAGTGCCGCATGGTGGCGGTGGGGTTATAGTATGGGCATGCATAAGAAATGGACAACGAACACAATTGCATTTTATCAATGGCAATTTGAATGCACAGACATGTTTGGGATGCTCTGGATCGACGCGTACAGCAGCATGTTCCAGTTTCCGCCAATATCCAGCAACTTTACTGCTGAAGCGCGTAAATATTGTCTGTCCTCGGTTGCAACACTCACTACAGAGTTCCAAACTGCCTCTGGAAGCAACGTCAGCACAAGAACTGTTCGTCGGGAGATTAATGAAATGGAACTGTGGAAACGCGTTCTTTGGCGTGATGAATCACGCTTCACCATCTTGCAGTCCGACGGACAAATCTGGGTTTGGTGGATGCAAGGAGAACGCTACCTGCCCGAATGCATAGTGCCAACTTAAAAGTTTGGTTGAGGAGGAATAATGGTCTGGGGCTGTTTTTCATGGTAACGCTACAGCATACATTGACATTCTAGACAATTCTGTGCTTCCAACATTGGGGCAACAGCTTGGGGAAGGCCCTTTCCTGTTTCAGTATAACAATGCCCCCGTGCACAAAGCGAGGTCCATACAGAAATGGTTTGTCGAGATTGGTGTGGAAGAACTTGACTAGCCTGCACAGAGCCCTGACCTCAACCTCATCTAACAACTTTGGGATGAATTGGAACGCCGGCTGCAAGCCACGCCTAATCGCCCAACATCAGTGCCCGACCTCACTAATGCTCGTGTCTGAATGGAAGGAAGTCCCCGCAGCAATGTTCCAACATCTAGTGGAAAGCCTTCCCAGAAGAGTGTAAGCTGTTATAGCAGCAAAGGGGGGACCAACTCCAAATTAATGCCCATGATTTTGGAATGAGATGTTCAACAAGCAGGTGTCCACATACTTTTGGTAATGTAGTGTATCTGTGACCAACAGATGCATATCTGTATTCCCAGTCATGTGAAATCCATACATTACGGCCTAATGAATTTATTTCAATTTATTTATTTCCTTATATGAACTGTTACTCAGTAAAATCTTTGAAATTGTTGCATGTTGCATTTATATTTTTGTTCAGTGTAATAACGCAGTTATGGATAGTCTTGAGGGAAATGCTGTCTCTACAATATCCCTGAGCATATCGCAGTGGGAGCATTGTGGACATGACTTTTTACATCCTTACCTGGCCTTCTCATCCATGAAGGTGTATGGTTTCTGGGGCACTCCCTGGCGCAGGAAGCTCTCACCAGGGCGTCCCCCCAAGGGCGTCTTGCGTCCTGACGGGGTGCCGGAGGGGGTCATCCGCCCAGACGGGGTCATACGTGTGGGTGTAACCCCACCATCCCCTACAGGACTCATGCTGGAAACCAGCACCACCGGGGGGGAGATGGGGGTGGAGGATGGTGGGATGACGCGCGCCGTGGTAGCCGGTATTGGCGCATACATGGGCAAAGACGAAATGGGTTTGCCAATGGCGGTGGGAGGGGCCACAGGTGGGGGTGGGGTCTTAGTCATGGGAGAGACGATATTGACGGGACTCTGGGGTTTGGGGAGAACGACAGGAGGAGCGAGCTTGGTTACGGTTGCCAGTTGAGACGGTGCCGATTTCGTGACGTTGATGTTGAGGGTGGTCTTGGCTTTGGCCGGGGCGGGAGCGGACTGAGCTGGAGATGGGATTTGGATCTCAGGGATGGCCCGATGGGACTGGGCCGCATGAATAACAATGGGGGCGGAGGCGGCGCTGGTTAGGGTCTGAGGGACTGAGGGTTTGGAATCAACAGGTTTAAAAGCGGGGATAGAAGCAGTAGACTTGGCCGCTGGTACAGCAGGAGCGGGAGCAGCAGCAGCAGAGGGGGGTGGGGTCTGTGTGGATGGGGAAAAAGATGGGGTCGGGGTCGGAACTTTACTAGGCACAGGCTTCATGGAGGGGACGGTAATTGTTGACGTTTTGACAACTGGTGCTGCAGGGACTGTCTTCACAACGACTGATCCACTGGATTTTGTTGGCACTGTTGATTCAGAACAACACGTTTTTAGTATCACTAAAGGAAAACAATCCAGGTTTATCAAGTGAGCACTCTCGTAAAATGACTTTGCTATGAAACATTCATATTTAAAAGGAGTTTGTCAATCTCCAGGTGCCTAAAGTACATCATACATGTGTGCAAACATTTAAACCACATGGAAAATAAATGTATGATAGTGATGTATGAAGTGGCATACTGTATTACCATTAGATCTTCATACTAGAATGTAGTACATACCTGAGGCGTCCAGGCACACTAACTCTGAGAGGTTACTGTAGGGTCCTTGGCCTGCCTTGTTCACACACGCCACTCTAAACCTGAAATTGCCCCTTCCTGGCAAGTCGACCACATTGTAGTAACAGTCAGCCACTCCAGTGGCCACGATAAGCCAGTTACTCTCACCTTGGGGAGAAAGACCATTGACATACATTTACGTGTTCATGTTTACATTTAATTTAGAAAGACACATTTCAATAATTGTCAGAGAATAAGTTAATGGAAGGCAGTTATTTTGAATGAATCATTGGCATAATACAACTTTAATGTCTCTCATGTCACCCCACTCCTCCGCACACTCCACTGGCTTCCATTAAAAGCTTGCATCCACTACAATAACATGTTGCTTACCTACGGAACAGCAAGAGGAACTGCCCCTCCCTAACTTCAGGCTATGCTCAAACCCTACACCCCAACCCGAGCACTCCGTTCTGCCATCTCAGATCTCTTGTGTGAGTGTGTGTGACACCATGACTCACCCTCTGCTTTTCTCTCCAGAGAGTAGGTGCAAGGGGCCATATTGTCTGAGGGCCTCCAGAGGACCAGGGCAGTGTTCTTATAGCGCTGGGGAACCTCAGGAGTCCCAGGACGATTGGGTAGCCCTAGTAGGGCAGAGAGGTATACAGCTGAATTTGGAAGTTTACATACACCTTAGCCAAATACAATTAAAATCAGTTTTTCACAATTCCTGACATTTAATCCTAGTAAAAATTCCCTGTCTTAGGTCAGTTAGGATCACCAATTTATTTTAAAAATGTGAAATGTCAGAATAATAGCAGAGAGAATGATTTATTTCAGCTTTTATTTCTTTCATCACATTCCCAGTGGGTCAGAAGTTTACATACACTCAATTAGTATTTGGTAGCATTGCCTTTAAGTTGTTTAACTTGGGTCAAACGTTTCGGGTAGCCTTCCACAAGCTTCCCACAATAAGTTGGGTGAATTTTGGCCCATTTCTCCTGACAGAGCTGGTGTAACTGAGTCAGTTTTTGTAGGCCTCCTTGCTCACACACACTTTTTCAGTTCTGCCCACAAATGTTCTATAGGATTGAGGTCAGAGTTTTGTGATGGCCACTCCAATACCTTGACTTTGTTGTCCTTAAGCCATTTTGCCACAACTTTGGAAGTATGTTTGGGGTCATTGTCCATTTGGAAGACCCATTTGTGACCAAGCTTTAACTTCCTGACTGATGTCTTGAGATGTTGCTTCAATATTTCCACATAATTTTCCTTCCTCATGATGCCATCTATTTTGTGAAGTGCACCAGTCCCTCCTGCAGCAAAGCAACCCCACAGCATGATGCTGCCACCCCCGTGCTTCACGGTTGGGATGGTGTTCTTCGGCTTGCAAGCGTTCCCCTTTTTCCTCCAAACATAACGATGGTCATTATGGCCAAACAGTTCTATTTTTGTTTCATCAGACCAGAGGACATTTCTCCAAAAAGTACAATCTTTGTCCCCATGTGCAGCTGCAAACCGTAGTCCTGCATTTATATGGCGGTTTTGGAGCAGTGGCTTCTTCCTTGCTGAGCGGCCTTTCAGGTTATGTCGATATAGGACTCGTTTTCCTGTGGATATAGATACTTTTGTACCTGTTTCCTCCAGCAATTTCACAAGGTCCTTTGCTGTTGTTCTGGGATTGATTTGCACTTTTCGCACCAAAGTACGTTAATCTCTAGGAGACAGAACACGTCTCCTTCCTGAGCGGTATGACAGCTGCGTGGTCCCATGGTGTTTATACTTGCATACTATTGTTTGTACAGATGAACATGGTACCTTCAGGCGTTTGGAAATTGCTCCCAAGGATGAACCAGACTTGTGGAGGTCTACAATGTTTTTTTTGAGGTCTTGGCTGATTTATTTTAATTTTCCCATGATGTCAAGCAAAGAGGCACTGAGTTTGAAGGTAGGCCTTGAAATACATCCACATGTACACCTCCAGTTGACTCAAATGATGTCAATTAGCCTATCAGAAGCTTCTAAAGCCATGACATCATTTTCTGGAATTTTCCAAACTTCTGACCCACTGGCATTGTGATACAGTGAATTATAAGTGAAATAATCTGTCTGTTGTTGGAAAAATTACTTGTGTCATGCACAAAGTAGATGTCCTAACCGACTTGCCAAAACTATAGCTTGTTAACAAGACATTTGTGGAGTGGTTGAATAACATGTTATAATGACTCCAACCTAAGTGTATGTAAACTTCCGACTTCAACTCAGTCCTTTTCAATCAATACCAATAAATGTGTTTCAAATTATTAGGCCTAAATAAAGAAGATTTTCAGTTGTGAGAGAGTTTGTCTAAAGATAGATGAATATCAAGTTGATGGGAATTCATTTGGTATCATTTTGTGAAGTGACAGAATTCAAAAGGAATTTGCGCTAGAATAGGTTAGTTGGAACAACTGAGCTGGCCAAGGGGTCTATCCACACCTAAATAATAGAGAGGGAAACACTAATATAGAAAACCAACAAATAACCCTGAAATTGAGAGTAGTTGAGAGGTCGTGTGGAGGGCTCTGTCCTTACTTAATTTCTTGATTTTTATTTTCTATGGTGGAGGGTTAACACACTGTTAGTTTAGCGGTACCCACTGTTTTTTTCTTTTCAAAGATAGGGAGGAAGAGCACAGAGTTTTAGTTTCCTGAGGTTTGAACGATGTGGTGTGCGTGATGGCTTCACAGCCTAGCGCGGAGGAGACGCTGTCGTTACGGCATGGATTCAGGTGTGTTCCTGAGAATGGAGTTAAGGTGGAGGAGGTTCTGCTCGCGGTCGGCGAACAGGTAGGAGCTGAATTTATACATTCCGCATCCAGAATGAACAAAGCTGTGGTTGTGTTCATGAAAAGAGCACATTTTGGAGGGTAGGCTCATTGCTAGTGGAATATTTGTAAGGGATGTGATTTGTCTTCTTTCGACTCCTTTGACAAGGGTGGTAGTTGCAAATCTGCCTCTGTTTATTACGGATGATCAAATCCGGAAAGAGCTGAGTCGTTTTGGTAAGATTGCTAGCAGTTTTCATGTAATGTCGGCAGATTTTCAGGCAGATGCTGTTAAGCGTGTTGTTTCATTCCGGAAGCAAGCGTTCATGTTTCTGAATAACAATGAGCAACAGTTAAATGTGCATTTTAAAGTGAGGAATGGGGAGGGGCTGGGTCTTGTAATGCTATAGATGGTGGTGTAGCTGAGGCTGGATCTAGTCATGCTATGGATGGTGGTGTAGATGAGGCTGGGCCTAGTCATGCTAGAGATGGTGGTGTAGATGAGGCTGGGTCTAGTCAGGCTATAGATGGTGGTGTAACTGAGACTGGGTCTAGTCATGTCATGGATGGTGGTGTAGATGAGGCTGGGCCTAGTCAGGTTATGCTAGTGGATGAGGAGAGTATAGCGGGGAAGGGTAAGCAACTAGGGGGGGTGGAGGAGGGTGTCAAGCGGAAGAGGAAAAAGGGGAAGAAGAAAGGAGGTGGGAGGTGGGAGGGGAGAGGCTGGTGTGGTCAAAGGCACCAAGGATGGTCAAGGTGTGAGGGGGGCTCAGTAGGCCAGTCTGGGTGAGACAGGGCATTAGACAAGGATGCCCTCTATCGGGGCAGTTTCATACACTAGCCATTGAGCCTTTTTTGGGCCTGCTATGCAGGAGACTGCAGGGAGTGTGCTGGACAGGCATGGGTGTGTTGATAGGCATAGCAGTTTCTGCATATGCAGATTATGTTTCTGTGATGGTCAGGGATGGGCAGGATATGCAGGCACTAGAGACTAGTCTGAAGATGTATGAGGGAGCTTCACCAGGAAGAACTGGCAGGGGCTGTCACAGGCATTGGTGTCAAGACTGGCCAGGTGGATGTGGCTCCTGTCCCAAGTGTCATATAGAGGGAGGGTGTTGATAATCAACAACCTGGCGGCATCTTCCCTGTGGCATAAACTGGCTGTCCTCAACTCCCTCGCCGGTCTGCTCGCAGACCTGCAATGCAAGCTTGTGGATTTTTTCTGGTCGGGCCATCACTGGCTGAGGGCGGCAGTGTTGTATATGTCCATACACGAAGGAGGATAGGGCCTTGTGGAACTGGAGAGCAGGGTGGCTGCATTCCGAGTAAAGGCGGCACAGAGACTGCTGTACCATAATGATGTCGGCTGGAGGGAACCAGCATGCGCGCTGCTGAGGAGAGCTGGCGGGTCAGGGTTGGACCGGCAGCTGTTCCTCATGAGGTTGGAGAGGCTGAGTACAGCAGGTCTCTCTGATTTTTAGCTGCTACCAGGCCCACACGAGCAGGGGTGTGGAGCCTGGGCTGTGGGTGTGGGAGGAGCCTATCTTCCACAACCCAGCCATCATTTTGAGATCGGTTCAGTCGGCCACCCTGCAGAGGCGACTGATGGCAGCGGGTTTACTAAGGCTGGGTGACCTGCGACTGCTGGGAGAGGAGGGGTGGAAAAACCCGGAAGTCCTGTCACAACAAACAGGACTGACATCTCTTAGGCTGCTGGAGAGATTCCTGGGGGAAGCCCAGGAGGCACTGTCTGAGCCGATAAGGGGGGTGTTTGAGCGGCCAAAGGGAGAGGGGCCACCAATGTTTCTGCCACTGCAGGGGACAGCAGAGACTGGGGACTGGCAAGGGGGTCTGGAGGACTTGTTACATTTGAACATGCCGAGCATGGGGGAGTTTGAGGGGGTGGGAGGTAAATCCCTCTACAACCTCTGCATTAAGGTAAGGAACATTAAGAGCCTAACAATAGTGAAGGCACATCAATGGCAGAGGCTATGTAGGGCGGAGAGTATGGTGGGTTTTAGATGGAGGGGGCTCTACAAACTCCCAGTACCAAAGAGGTCAGGGGACCTCCAGTGGAGGGTTCTACATGGAGCCCTGGCCATTAACAGCTGGTTGGCACGGGTCGACTCGGGAGTCGGACAGGGGTGTCCTTTCTGTGTCATGAGTGAAACTGTGATTTGTGTATTTTCTGTGTGCGACTCGGGAGTCGGACAGGGGTGTCCTTTCTGTGTCATGAGTGAAACTGTGATTCGTGTATTTTCTGTGTGCGCCAGGTTAATGCCATAAATGTCTCTGTTGGAATGTCTGTGTGAGAGGTTGGGTGTGGAGTTTACTGTCGGGATGTTTATAATGGGGTACAGGTATTCAAACAAGGAAAAGACCAAATGTGTGTTGTTGAATTTTCAGTTTGCTCAGGCAAAGTTGGATATTTGGCTAACAAGGAGGAACAGGGTAAAAGGTGGGGGAATAACAGACCCTTTACTATTATTTAATGGGATGGTCTCTGAGCGCCTTAAGGTGGAATTTGAGTTCTATAAAATGACAAAAAGTGTGGAGATGTTTCAGGAGATATGGTGTGTCGGGGGGGGGGGGGGGGGGCTGTCTATACAGCTGGGGAAGATGGGTTGGATATACGATTGTAGAAGTGGTGAGGTTTTGGTTATTGTGATGTGTGGTGTTGGTTTGTATCGTGGGGTAGAGGGCAAGGTGAGTAAGCAGTACAGGGGATATTTGTTTTTTAAGGGGGGGTGGTGAGGTTTTAATGAAATGAGGATGTATCATTAAAGAAGGACAAAATGTCTCTCTCTCTCTCTCTCTCTCTCGCTTTCCCTCTCTGAGGTGTGTGACTCTTACGAGCAAGGGAGAGGGTACAGGAGCTGGAGACCGAAGCCAGAGGGTTGGAAGCCACACACTCGTACAGCCCTGCATCCTTCTTGGTGGTTGTCATGATCATCAGCAGCTGCCTGCCATCCGGACAGGAGATCATGTTCATTCTGGCGTCAATCTGCAGAGGCTTCTTATCTGAGAAGGGAGAAAAAGGTACATTTAAAGCCAACAGTTACAATGCAATATGATGCATTTACAGTGCCTTCGGAAAGTATTCAGACCCCTTGACTTTTTCCACATTTTGTTACATTTCAGCCTTACTCTAAAATAGTAAATAAAAATCCTCAGCAATCGACACACAATACCCCATAATGACTAAGCGAAATCAGGTTTTTAGACAATTTTGCAAATGATTTGCAATTTACATACGTTTTCAGACCCTTTGCTATGAGACTCGAAATTGAGCTCAGGTGCATCCTGTTTCCATTGATCATCCTTAAGATGTTTCTACAACTTGATTGGAGTCCACCTGTGGTAAATTCAATTGATTGGACATGATTTGGAAAGGCACACACCTGTCTATATATGATCCCACAGTTGACAGTGCATGTCAGAGCAAAAACCAAGCCATGAGCTCGAAGGAATTGTCCGTAGAGCTCCAAGACTGGATTGTGTCGAGGCACAGATCTGGGGAAGAGTACGAAAACATTTCTGCAGCATTGAACGTCCCCAAGAACCCAGTGGCCTCCATCAATCTTAAACGGAAGAAGTTTGAAACCACCAAGACTCTTCCTAGAGCTGGCCGCCCGGCCAAACTGAGCAATTGGGAGAGAAGGGCTTTGGTCAGGGAGGTGACCAAGAACTCGATGGTCACTCTGACAGAGCTCTAGAGGTTCTCTGTGAAGATGGGAGAACCTTCCAGAAGGACAACCACCTCTGCAGCACTCCTCCAATCAGGGCTTTATGGTAGAGTGGCCAGACGGAAGCCACTCCTCAGTAAAAGGCATATGACAGTCCACTTGGAGTTTGCCAAAAGGCACCTAAAGACTCTCAGACCATGAGAAACAAAATTCTCTGGTCTGAAAAATAACAAGATTGAACTCTTTGGCCTGAATGCCAAGCGTCACGTTTGGAAAAAACCTGGTACTATCCTTACGGTGAAGCATGGTGGTGGCAGAATCATGCTGTTGGGATGTTTTTCAGCGGCAGGGACAGGGAGACTAGTCAGGATCGAGGCAAATATTCACAGAGCAAAGTACAGAGAGATCCTTGATGAAAACCTGCTTCAGAGCGCTCAGGACCTCAGACTGGGGCGAAGGTTCACCTTCCAATAGGACAACGTCCTTAAGCACACAGCCAAGACAATGCAGGAGAGGCTTTGGGACAAGTCTCTGAATGTCCTTGAGTGGCCCAGCCAGGGCCCCGGACATAAACCTGATCGAACATCTCTGGAGAGACCTGAAAATAGCTGTGCAGCAACGATCCCCATCCAATCTGACAGAGTTTGAGAGGATCTGCAGCAAAGAATGGGAGAAACTCCCCAAATACAGGTGTGCTCGAGGCTGTAATAGCTGTCAAAGGTGCTTCAACAAAGTATTGAGTAAAGGGTCTGAATACTTATGTAAATGTAATATTTCAGTTTGAGGAAAAAAAACAATTTAATATATTTTAGAATAAGTCTGTAGCCTAACAACATGTGAAAAAAGTCAAGGGGTCTGAATTCTTTCCGAAGGCACTATATAATGGAGGCTAGGGGTGGATTTTACATTCAGCTCTTACAGTGAGGGAAAAACAGTATTTGATCCCCTGCTGATTTTGTACGTTTGCCCACTGACAAAGACATGATCAGTCTATAATTTTAATGGTAGGTTTATTTGAACAGTGAGAGACAGAATAACAACAAAAAAATCCAGAAAAATGCGTGTCAAAAATGATATAAATTGATTTGCATTTTAATGAGGGAAATAAGTATTTGACCCCTCTGCAAAACATGACTTAGTACTTGGTGGCAAAACCCTTGTTGGCAATCACAGAGGTCAGACGTTTCTTGTAGTTGGCCACCAGGTTTGCACACATCTCAAGAGGGATTCTGTCCCACTCCTCTTTGCAGATTTTCTCCAAGTCATTAAGGTTTCGAGGCTGACGTTTGGCAACTCGAACCTCCGGCTCCCTCCACAGATTTTCTATGGGATTAAGGTCTGGAGACTGGCTAGGCCACTCCAGGACCTTAATGTGCTTCTTCTTGAGCCACTCCTTTGTTGCCTTGGCCTTGTGTTTTGGGTCATTGTCATGCTGGAATACCCATCCACGACCCATTTTCAATGCCCTGGCTGAGGGAAGGAGGTTCTCACCCAAGATTTGACGGTACATGGCCCCGTCCATCGTCCCTTTGATGCAGTGAAGTTGTCCTGTCCCCTTAGCAGAAAAACACCCCCAAAGCATAATGTTTCCACCTCCATGTTTGATGGTGGGGATGGTGTTCTTGGGGTCATAGGCAGCATTCCTCCTCCTCCAAACACGGCGAATTGAGTTGATGCCAAAGAACTCGATTTTGGTCTCATCTGACCACAACACTTTCACCCAGTTCTCCTCTGAATCATTCAGATGTTCTTTGGCAAACTTCAGACGGCCCTGTATATGTGCTTTTTTGAGCAGGGGGACCTTGCGGGCGCTGCAGGATTTCAGTCCTTCACGGCGAAGTGTGTTACCAATTGATTTCTTGGTGACTATGGTCCCAGCTGCCTTGAGATCATTGACAAGATCCTCCTGTGTAGTTCTGGGCTGATTCCTCACCGTTCTCATGATCAATGCAACTCCACGAGGTGAGATCTTGCATGGAGCCCCAGGCCGAGGGAGAATGAGAGGGCTTTTGTGTTTCTTCCATTTGCGAATAATCACACCAACTGTTGTCACCTTCTCACCAAGCTGCTTGGCAATGGTCTTGTAGCCCATTCCAGCCTTGTGTAGGTCTACAATCTTTTCCCTGACATCCTTGCACAGCTCTTTGGTCTTGGCCTTGGTGGAGAGTTTGGAATCTGATTGATTGATTGCGTCTGTGTACAAGTGTCTTTTATACAGGTAACAAGCTGAGATTATGAGCACTCCTTTAAGAGTGTGCTCCTAATCTCAGCTCGTTACCTGTATAATAGACACCTGGGAGCCAGAAATCTTTCTGTTTGAGAGGGGTTCAAATACTTATTTCCCTCATTAAAATGCAAATCAATTTATAACATTTTTGACATGCATTTTTCTTGATTTTTTTGTTGTTATTCTGTCTCTCAGTGTTCAAATAAACCTACCATTAAAATTATAGACTGATCATTTCTTTGTCAGTGGGCAAACGTTCAAAATCAGCAGGGGATCAAATACTTTTTTCCCTCACTGTATACTAAGTTCTTACCTTTCATCCAGGAGATGTGTGGGTGAGGGCTACCAGCTGGGAGGCAGCTAAGGGTGATGGGATCTCCCTCCAGCAGGACGTGGTCCCTCAACTTGATGTGGAACACAGGAGGGAAGTCTGGAGGATAGACAAATAGGGAATGGGATTAAGAATGAAGAACAATGGGCATTTCTATGGCCTACAAAAAAATCCCTTTCACTAAATATGTCTTTCACAGTTTGCTAGTTAGTCTCAACAGCTGTTAGTATAAACAGGCTGTTTAGACTGACAAGCATGTTTACACACTAGCAAGCTACAGTGCAATCGGAAAGGCTTCAGACACCTTGACCTTTTCCACATTTTGTTATGTTACAGCCTTATTCTAAAATGGATAAAATACACACAATAACCCATAATGACAAAGCAAAAACAGGTTTTTAGACATTTTTGCAAATCTATTAAAAATAAAAAAACAGAAATATCACATTTACATAAGTATTCAGACCCTTTACTCAGTACTTTGTTGAAGCACCTTTGGCATCGATTACAGCCTTCGAGTCTTCTTGGGTATGACACTACAAGCTTGGCACACCTGTAATTGGGGAGTTCTCTGCAGATCCTCTCAAGCTCTGTCAGGTTGGATGGGGATCGTCGCTGCACAGCTATTTTCAGGTCTCTCCAGAGATGTTCGATCGGGTTCAAGTCCGCGCTCTGGCTGGGGCACTCAAGGACATTCAGAGACTTGTCCCGAAGCCACTCCTGCGTTGGCTTGGCTGTGTGTTTAGGGTCGTTGTCCTGTTGGAAGATAATCTTGTTTCTCATGGTCTGAGAGTCCTTTAGGTGCTTTTTGGCAAACTCCAAGTGAGCACTCATGTGCCTTTTACTGAGGAGTGGCTTCCTTCTGGCCACTCTACCATAAATGCCTAATTTGTGGAGTGCTGCAGAGATGGTTGTCCTTCTGGAAGGTTCTCCCATCTCCACAGAGTAACTCTGGAGCTCTGTCAGAGTAACCATTGGGTTCTTGGTCACCTACCTGACCAAGTGCCTTCTCCCCCGATTGCTCAGATTGGCCAGGCGGCCAGCTCTAGGAAGAGTCTTGGTGGTTCCAAACTTATTCCATTGAAGAATGATGGAGGCCACTGTGTACTTGGGGACCTTCCTCAGATCTGTGCCTCGACACAATCCTGTCTCGGAGCTCTATGGACAATTCCTTCGACCTCATGGCTTGGTATTTCCTCTGACATGCACTGTCAATTATATTATATATTATGCCATTTAGCAGACGCTTTTATCCAAAGCGACTTACATCATGTGTGCATACATTTTTACGTATGGGTGGTCCCGGGGATCGAACCCACTACCCTGGCGTTACAAGCGCCATGCTCTACCAATTGAGTTACAGATCTTGTGGGATCTTATATAGATAGGTGTTTGCCTTTCCAAATCATGTCCAATCAATTGAATTTACCACAGGTGGACTCCAATCAAGTCGTTGAAACATCTCAAGGATGATAAACGGAAACAGGATGCACCTGAGCTCAATTTCGAGTCTCATAGCAAAGGGTCTGAATACTTATGTAAATAAGGTATTTCTGTTTTTTTTTTCTTCATATATTTGCAAACATTTCTTAAAACCTGTTTTTCCTTTGTCATTATGGGGTATTGTGTGTAGATTGATTAGGACATTTATTTTATTTAATCAATTTTAGAATAAGACTAACTAAACAAAATGTGGAAAAACGTTAAGTTGTCTGAATACCTTCCTAATGCACTGTATCTACAATTTTGAACAAATGCACCTCAATAGCTAGCTTGCTTAGCGAACGGTCACTGATATAACATTAGGTAATGTGGCATTGTAGCAGCTATACTTCACGCCTCCGAAATTAATTCGTAGGAGGGCTTAACAGCTAACTAAATACAGTAGCTGGATAATGCTGCAACTACTAAGCAGGTGAGCTTATCTAGCTAGCTAACTACAGCTAGTTAATCTAGCTAGCTAACTACAGTGACAAATGGACAAGTTCAGTGTTGATACTGCTTGCTTGGGCCAATGTAATACTGCACAAATCAGGAAAGTAACTTCCCAGCTAACAACAAACATTCTCTCAACTTTAAAGAACTTTCCCTTAAGAGTCTCATTAGGTATTTAACTAACGTTTTTATAGGAATGTTCCCTTGATGCGCAAGGAATGTGTCACGATCGTCAGGAACAGATGAGGACCAAGGCGCAGCGTTGCAGGCAAACATACTCTTTATTGAGCGAAACACGATCAAAACAACAAAGACGGTAACGTGACAGTTCACGGTCAAACACAACCAACTTGAAACAAGAACCCACAAAAACAAAGGAAAAACCGACAGTTTAAATATGGCTCCCAATCAGAGACAACCAGCAAACAGCTGACACTCGTTGCCTCTGATTGGGAGTCACTCAGGCCAACATAGAAATAGAGTACATAGATCTACACACCCTGGCTCAACATAACCGTGTCCCCAGAGCCAGGGCGTGACAGTACCCCCCCCCTAAAGGCGCGGACTCCGACCGCGCCAACTAAATACCACAGGGGAGGGACCGGGTGGGCACTCCGCCTTGGCGGCGGATCCGGCTCCGGGCCTGATCCCCACTCCCTCTCCAACCCCCCAAAGTACCCCTGGTCCGGTCTGGCCCCGCTGGCCAGAGCCGGACTGACGACACGCACCCCTGGCTTGGTGCGTGGAGCAGGAACGGACCGGACCGGGCTGACGATGCGCACCCCTGGCTTGGTGCGTGGAGTAGCAACTGGCCGGACCGGGCTGACGATACACACCCCTGGCTTGGTGCGTGGAGCAGAAATGGACCGGACCGGGCTGACGATGCGCACCCCTGGCTTGGTGCGTGGAGTAGCAACTGGCCGGACCGGGCTGACGATACGCACCCCTGGCTTGGTGCGTGGAGCAGGAATGGACCGGACCGGGCTGACGATGCGCACCCCTGGCTTGGTGCGTGGAGTAGCAACTGGCCGGACCGGGCTGACGATACGCACCCCTGGCTTGGTGCGTGGAGCAGGAATGGACCGGACCGGGCTGACGATGCGCACCCCTGGCTTGGTGCGTGGAGGAGGAACGGGCCGAGCCGGGCTGATGATACGCACCCCTGGCTTGGTGCGGGGAACAGGCACGGGCCGTGCTGGACTGACTGGGCTGGCGACGCGCACCACAGACTTGGTGCGGAGAGCAGGAACGGGCCGGACAGGGCTGGTGACGCGCACCACCGACTTGGTGCGGGGAGCTTGGATGGGCCGGACTGGGCTGGCGACGCGCACCACAGACTTGGTGGGAGTGGCAGGAACAGGCCGGCCCGTACTGGGAACACACACCACTGGCCCTACGTGGGGATCAGGAACAGGCCGAACCGGACTGGCAACACACGCCAGTACCTCTCGCCGTGCCTCTACAACCTCCTTCCCCCTGGTGACCAGTGACTCCCGTAACCTGGCGGCCTCCTCTGCCAACCCGCTGGACCGCTCTATCGCGGCCTCCTGCTGCCCCGACGTCGTGAGCCCCCCCCCTAAAAAAATTCTGGGGGTCTCTCCTCCCCGTGGGCCAGGCCTCCATCGTTCTCGCCAGACTCTCACCCCACTGCTCCAAAGTCCAACCTCTCTCCTCTTCTCTTGGCTTGGCCCAGTCGAGACTCCTACTCCACTGCTCCCAAGTCCATCCTCTCTCTTCTTCACGCTGCTTGGTCCTGTTATGGTGGTTTCTTCTGTCACAATCGTCTACCAATGAGGAGGACCAAGGCGCAGCGTTGAATGCGAACATTTTATTTTATCAAGATGATCACACGATCAAAACAACAAAAACGAAACGTGACATCCCTGGTTACATAAACCAACAAACACGGAACAAGAAACCACAAACACAAAGTGAAAAGACCGTCAGTTAAATATGGCTCCCAATCAGAGACAACCAGCTGACACTCGTTGCCTCTGATTGGGAGTCACTCAGGCCAACATAGATATACAAACATAGACTTACACACCCTGGCTCAACATAACATAGTCCCCAGAGCCAGGGCGTGACAGTTGCAAAAACATTAATGCGTCCAGTTTTCTGTGGGTTAGGAAAATATTCCATCAACGTCCCACCAAACATACACAGAACATGGTTCTCAGAACATGTTCTCAGAACATAAGATATTAACGTTATAGAACAATCAGAAAACTGGACACATGACAGTTCTTGCAACGTCCCATGAAACGTGCCTAGAACATTAATCTCTTGTATGCCAGGGTTGTGGGTTCGATTCCCACGGGGGGCCAGTATAAAAAGATATGTATTCACTAACTGTAAGTCACTCTGGATAAGAGCGTCTGCTAAATGACTAAAATGTAAATGTAAATGTATTCTATGAACATGGCAACCATGTTCTGTGTATGTTTGGTGGAACGTTGATGGAATATTCTCATAACCCTCAGAAAACTGGACAAATGATATTGGATTGCTGTTTCTCCTTGTCCATTGAGTGCTTATAGAGTAAGGAAACCAATATGAAATGTTGTAATTTGCCGAGCTGAGTATCTGGGTTTTAAAACACTTTTCAAATACACAGCCTAAACCTTTTATTTGTTTGAATGGTTATTTTATTTAAACCAAATAGTCTACCAAATTGTATTTGAAAGTATTTTCAATTACTTCTTTCAAATACTATATATTTTCAAATACCTGGGTTAAATGCATGGAAGTGTATTTGAGTCAGTGTATTTGAGTATTTTCAAATACTTTCCAAGTGTATTTATACTACTTGTGTAAATATTAAACTACTTTTCATTTTAAATAAAATATATCTGAATAGTTATTTTGAAATGTTATTGAGATATTTGAAATAGTATTTGAACCTAGGTCTGGTAATTTGGATGAACTATCTGTTTAAGAAATGAGGGACTTTAAGGATTACCAGATGCCAGTCTGGAGTATGAGCGAGAGCGCATGGAGCCATTTTCTCTGGCAATAGCCGTGGGGATATCAGGCTGCGAGACCGTCTTGTCTTTCTTGCTGCCTCTGGTTAGGCCCCAACGGTCCCATCGGGACCTACGTTCGCCCTCTGCCCCTGCCGGAGGGAACAAATGTAACAAACTTAAACAGAAATAGTAACAAAGAAAAAAGGGGATGGTAGCACACATAGGGAAGCGTGCTTACTAAGATTGTTCTTACATACTGAGATACAAGAAAAAGTAAAAGGTTTGGTTGGGGAAGGGGGTGGGATTTGCATAATTGTTTCCCCAAAATGTTAATGAATCTTACTACATGTACCACTCCAGAATAGTGACATTGTCTCTGTACAGTGATAATGCACCCTTTAATTGGTAAAGTTACGTTTTGTCTAATTCTGCTCAGTAATCATCCTCAAATTAAACATATGACATTTTCAGGTGTAGGGGGAACATGTTAATTCTAAATAAATGTTATTTCTATGTTGGTAGAAGTCTCGTACCCTTTGACGCTGTCTCCGACTTGATGCTGGACATGGACTCCAGGGACTCTGAGGAGGCTCCGGTGCCCGACTGAGAAAACAGCTGGTTTTGAGGGACACTGGGTCCAGCCATATTCTTTAGGCTACGTCCCTCGGAAGTCGACCTGCGCAGAATAGAGAACAGGGGTGTCTTCTTGCTCTCTGGCCTGTTGGCTTCCCTCTCCTCCGCCGCTACCCTCCTCTCCTCCGAGGCACTGCGGATCCTCATGGATATCCCGGACACCGTCGACTCAATCTTCCTGCGCATGGCCATGACTGGCGACTCGTTTGGCTTCTTTGGCTCCTTGACCTCCTGTTCTACCTCGGCTTCCGTTCCCCCGTCCATCCTCATCATCTCCACCTCCTTTCTCTCCTGGGAATGGGATCCTCTTCGGCCGGGGAGAGCCCAGGAGAGCCGACGGCTGGGAGCCACTGGTTCTTCCTCATTTGGCTTTTCGTCCTTGCGTTCGGCTGACGGAGTCCTCTTGAGGCGCATGGAGAGTCTTCTCATAAAACCTTGGTCCTTCTGGGCCTCGCGGAGATCCTGCACCGACTTGGACTTCTCCTCCAGTCTCCTGGGGAAAAACTCAAGTGGTGCTCCAATGGGCCCAGGACGGTATACATCTTCGCCTGACTCGTCAGAGTCCAAACAGGCTACTGGTTTCTCCTCAGGCTTTGACCAGTTGAGAAGCTTCAGGCCTCGAATGAGGGAAGACTCACGCTTTTTGAAGCGTGCCTTGAATATTTCCTCAGAGGCAATGTCCTGGAGGTTTTGTCCCCCTGGCGAGAGCTCATGTTGGGGCGTGGGGCACGGGGAAACCTTGGGTGGACTCGTTTCCTTGGGCTCAGGGGATGCCACCCTTGAAAAGACTGCAGGGTGTTCCCCTGGTGTAGATAGCAGAGCTACTGGCTTTGATGGGTCAGGTACAGGTGTAGATGTTGGTAATAATGTTGGTGCTGGAAATGGGGCATGTGCAGGGACTGGAACAACTACAGGGGTGGAGTCTGCTAATGGGGGACTAACTAGGGGCTGAAGCGAGGGGACCATGATGGTCTGCATTATGCTAGCGTACGCAGAGGTCCTACCGTCTGGGAGAACAGTAAGGGCAGGTGGAGAGGGAGTCACATACGCAGGTGGAAAGGGAGTCACAACATTATCTGGTGCCCTTGAAAATGCTGGTGCAGGCATGACCCTGATGGAACTTGTAGTAATGACCATTTCAGAAGATTTCACTGGTGCCTTCACTTCTTCTTCTACTTCTTCGACTTCTTTTTGTACTTCTTTGTGTACTTCTTCAACTTCTCTAGCTTTTGGTTCATCTACAGGAACAGTCACTTTTTCCTCAATCTCTTCTTTCTCTTCCTCCATTGGTTCCTCTAATGTAAGGACCCTCACAGGAGGGCTAGGCTCCCTCGGGGCCACGTACTCCGGTTCGATCATTGCTTCTTCTGACATGCTCGTGTTCTTCTCTGAGAAACCACTTGTGCTCGATCTCTCGTCTGCATTACTGTCTGTGGTCACGCCATCAATTTTTTTACCAACTGACTCCGCAGTCTTAATTTCCTTGTCCTCCATCTTGGTTGTTGTCTCCTGTTCCCCAGGCTCTGGGCTTGGTGTGGGAAGTTTAGGGGAAGGTTCCCTGGGAGTCACAGGGCGGGAGTCATTCTTGAATGGCTCAGTGAGAGCAGACATGGATATGGCCTCCTTGAGCCTTCGCTCCTCTATCTGCGGGATCTCCAGTGGCTCCCCAGACCGTCTGTGCACAGGAATTGGCTCTGCATCATCTCCTTCACTGAATGAGGCGCTCTTGCGAAGCAATTTGGGTTTGGGCACGTCCTCTCTGGGCTCGTCGCTGGAAGCCGCCCTGGTTAATGGGGGAACCCCTAAGCGGGGGGCGCGCGAGTAGCGTTCCAGTGATGACGACCGCTGATTTCCATTGTCCATGCCCAGCGTCTCCAGCAGGGGTCCTCGCAGGCCGCTCATCTTCTTGTCCACGGAGCCGCCTCGGAGTAGCCTCTGCCGCATCAGCTCCAGTTTGAGAGCATAGTCCTCCTGACTCAGAGGCCCTGGGCTCGTGCTCCTCCTAGGCAGCTCCATCGATACTGTCTTTTTGAGGACTCGCCGGCCCCTTTCCAGGGTTTCCTCTTCTGCACCCTCTTCTGGTACAAGGTGGAGCAGCAGCGCGCTGTCGGCAGATCCCCCTCTACGCAGCGGCCCCCTTCTGGTTCCTATCTCTGGCTTATCCGACTCCAAGCTCAAGCCTCTGCACAAGGGCCTTCTTGCCTTCTCTGATACTTGCACCAACTCTGCGGGGGGCTCCTCGTCCGAAGACCCCTTGTCGTTTTCTAGCGTTGACCTTTTCCTGGTGTGGCCTCTACCTGCAGATTCTCCAGCCTCTTTCTCTTTCCCCGTGGATTCACTCACCATCTTCTCTTGGCCATGAGCAACTGTTGATCCTGGTCTGTCAATGGGGCCATTTGGCTTGCCTGTGCCTTCCTGATCGTCCTGGATCTCATTCAGAGACATTCTTGATCCGGAGAACTCCATGGTGAGTGGCATTGGAATGAAGGGCAGCTCGTCAATATCTTCGTCGGAGTCAGAGGATGATGATGGTGGGGGTGAGCCCTCTTTGAGGTGTCTGGGAACAGCGATGGAGATGTGGCTGGATGAGTCGTTCAGCAACTCAGGTATGGACCTCATGACCATTTTGGATTTGTAGCTGATAAGGGACCGCTACAAAAGACGGACATAAACAATTTATTACACAGAATTAGATACAATTCAAGACATTCTTTATAAAAAATTAATACAAATAAAAATATGATTGATGACAGATCCCTTACCTGCCACTTTCGACGAGACACAAACTTCTTGAGGGCCTCTGTGCTTATTGCCTTCCCCTTGGTAAGGGTCTTTATGAAAAAATTAAGACAGAATAAATTAGCATGTATTAGTCCATAATTTTGAAATTGCTCAATATTTTACCAAAATATATGACGGGGGATCTCAAGTCAGAACAGAACCCTAAAGCAATTCTTGTTTGTGATGCGTCACACATGAGTCCATTGTCAAAGTTCACATGCCTCACCTTGAACCATGGATGACGGAGACACTCCTGTGTATCAGGCCTCCTAAAGGGATGACATGATACCATTTTACATTAGATTTCTAGTCAGTCTTAAGAAGCCCACAAATGCTTAAGAACTGAGGAAAAATCCTAAGGACAAATCCTATCTTGACATCCGTAACTAAAATTGTCTGGAACATTGACGATTAAATCAAACGCATGATTTACATGACATTCTGAGTAGCACATGGACATCTCAAGTTTTGGCCTGAACATGTTAAAATCTATAGTTGTTACTCACAGTCTGTCTGCCACCAGCAGTTTGATGATGAATCCCTTAGCTTCACGGCACAGGTCAGCGAACATACTCTCCTCAAAAGCCACATTGTAGTTCCTGATGTTGAGCACGGAGCTGCGGTCATTCTCTCCAGCAAATGGAGACACTCCAGTCAAGCTGAAATGCAGAAACACCTGTTAACTTCTCTTCCTCTCACTAATTGTTCACTGATTCTAGAGCCATGTATAAATATGGCATGTTTGATAGGGTCTCTAATAGCAATTAAAATAGGAATGAACAGGTACTTATGTGGTGCTTATTTATCTATCTGGCTTGCAAAGTGTGCATGTGCATAATTCCATGCTTAAATTGTGATTAATCATCTTATGAATCATTGATTGGTTTTGTAATCGTTGTATAGACACCATATTTAAGACACATTGAACGTGTACCTACCACAGATATGTGATGACTCCAATCGGCCTGGGAAGAGAAAGAAGAGAATTAGAGAGGATCCATTTGTGATATGAATCAAGTTTTAAACACTTGCATGGCCTCCAGCATTTTTACCAGATATCAGTTGCCTTGGATACAGGAGTTTGGTTGACAATTTCTGGAGCAACAAATTCTGGTGTGCCATATTTGCAGTATTGAGCCTCGTCGGGTGTGAGCTCCATGGCGTTGCCGAAATCACAGATGCGGATCTGATCACCATGGGGGTCTGCCATGAGTATGTTATCAGGCTAGGGAGGAAACCCAAAGATAAGGTCAGATTTCAGAATAACGACCAGTGGTCATAGTCATAACCTTGTTTTTGACCAAATTTGTGCATTCAGAGGGACATATTCCTTGTCTAAACGCACACCTGCAATAAACAAAAACACAGTACTACCCAGAATACCTATTGTGAGATATCTTTAAGGCCCCACACCCTAATAGGGATATTTTTTTTTCTTTATCATATCACAATCAACTTGTATTTTTTTTCCTGAAATATGTTATTAAAATATGCAAATTAGGTGATATCTCATTAAATATGCACATATTGGCATACATTTACATTTTAGCGCAACTACATTTTTCTGGCCACTGGATGATCAGCCTAAATGTTATTTTTTACATTTCTTTAAGACACTCCAGGATAAATACTTTTTTCATCTTTCTATCTGTAAAATACTAAATACATTTTTGGCACATTTTCCCAAATAAAATATTATCTAAAATAGAGAATTGACAGCATATCAACAATTCCCTCTAGGCAAGTCTGGAGAATATCTAAGGATAACCACACCAAATTTAGTGAACGCAGATGCTTCTGAAGCAGAGAAAAAGTTGGCTTGTGGGAAGTGTCGGACTTTGGGGAAATGGCAATTAAAGACAAGTACACTGAATTAAGACTAGCAAACACCAAAAGACTATTTAGACCCAATCACCATCTCTTCAAAGTAAGTTACTAAATGTAGTCCCGTTTGTAATATTTTGTACAATTCAATGTAGTGAGCTTTGAAATTATTGATGTATGTCCATTTTAAAATGTTGATGACAGTGGTATGATAAACTAAAGAAAAAACTATCATTAATGGACCAAAATACCAACAAATCTCAGAAATAATAGCTAGATGCAAAAATGTTATTTCAGCCTGATGTGCCTGGCCTTAAAACTCTCTTTTAACTAAAGACGTGTTTACCTTGATATCCAGATGGACGATATTTTGATGGTGAAGGTAGTCCACACCCTCCAGCAGCTGTCTCATACAGGAGCGGATCTGCAGGTATACCAAGTATAGAGATATGTTACTGTCATTATGTTACATTTTGTAAAGATATTATGGGAGACAAGACACACATTCTTATACAATAAGAGAAACAGGGTGGTTTGATCATATCAAGTGTTACCCAAGGTCCCACTTATTCCTGTAAAAGTGTGTGAATTTACTTGGTTGTCTTTGTTAGATAATAATTATAGGGGCCAGGTTGGTACAGACAAGAGTTCAATGATCTTACAATAGGGGTCACTGTTACTCATGATCCCATAATGAAGTGTCCCCCAAGCACACAGTAACCAACTCACGTCCGACTCCATCACTGTAGATTTCTTTGTAAACCTCTCCAGAAGCTCCTCATCGCATCTTTATGCATTGATCAAGGAGATTTATGACACTGGAAATACTTCATAATTATGACAGGAGATAAATGAGGGAAAAAAATAGGCAAACACAGGAATGTGAGTGTGTCTGTGCATGTGTGTCTACTAAAAATAATGACCATTATACCTGCCAATTTCCCCACTCTTCAAGCCAAATGGTATACTTAATCTGTGTAAAAGGCCCCAGTGAGTATGAACTCTGAAAAGGATACATCTCTGTGACAATGATGACTGCGTTCTTCTTCTCAAAGGCATCATGGAAATACAGGACTCTCTCGTGGTCCAGCCCAGACAGCAGGTTCATCTCTCTCAGGGCAGATGCCTTCCTCTTGGCTCGGGCAGATATGAACTTGGCAGCATACTCCATTTTACCCACTTTCTGCGTCACTCGTTTCGCGTAGGAGAAAGCTCCTCTAAAATATTGTTTTATTGATGGGGAGGTAACATTTTACAATCACTTTCATGAAAAAGCATAAAACAACGATTTCTAAACCGTGAATAAACACATATTTCATTATTTATAAGCATGACTCAACATTTATAAGGAAATAGTTCTTAAAATTAATACAAAAATAAGAATTGATTTGTTGGTTTTACAGACCCCTAGACTTTTTCCTAATTTTGTTACGTTACAGCCTTATTCTAAAATGGATCAAATAGTTTCCCCCCCTCACCAATCTACAAACAATATCCCATAATGACAAAGCAAAAACAGGTTTTTAGACATTTTAACAAATATATAAAAAATTAAAAACGGAAATATGACATTTACATAACTATATATACAGAGCATTTGGAAAGTATTCAGACCCTGTACTCAGTACTTTGTTGAAGCACCTTTGGCAATGGTTACAGCCTCGGGTCATCTTGATTATGACACTACAAGCTTAGCACAACTGTTTTTGGGGAGTTTCTCCCATTCTTCTCTGCAGATCCTCTCAAGCTCTGTCAGGTTGGATGGGGAGCGTCGCTGCACAGCTATTTTCAAGTCTCTCCAGAGATGTTCGATCAGAGACTTGTCCCGAACCCACTCCTGCATTGTCTTGGCTGTGTGCTTAGGGTCGTTGTCCTGTTGGAAGGTGAACCTTCACACCAGTCTGAGGTCCTGAGCGCTCTGGAGAAGGTTTTTATCAAGGATCTCCCTGTACATTGCTCCGTTCATCTTTCCCTCGATCTTGAGTAGTATCCCAGTCCCTGCGCTGAAAAACATTCCCACAGCATGATGCTGCCACCACCATGCTTCACCGTAGGGATGGTGCCAGGTTTCCTCCAGACATGACAGTTGGCATTCAGGCCAAAGAGTTAAATCTTGGTTTCATCAGACCAGAGAATCTTGTTTCTCATGGACTACGAGTCTTTAGGTGACTTTTGGCAAACACCAAGTGGGCTGTCATGTGCCTTTTACTGAGGAGTGGCTTCTGTCTGGCCACTATACCATAAAGGCCTGATTGGTGGAGTGCTGCAGAGATGGTTGTCCTTCTGGAAGTTTCTCCCATCTCCACAGAGGAACTCTGGAGCACTGTCAGTATGACCAAGGTCTCCCTGACCAAGGCCCTTCTCCCCCAATTGCTCAGTTTGGCCGGGCGGCCAGCTCTAGGAAGAATCTTGGTGGTTCCAAACTTCTTCCATTTAAGAATGATGGAGACCACTGTGTTCTTGGGGACTTTCAATGCTGCAGACATTTTTTGGTACCCTTCCCCAGATCTGCGCTTCGACACAATCCTGTCTTGGAGATCTATGGACAATTCCTTCGACCTCATGGCTTGGTTTTTGCTCTGACAAGAAATGTAATCTGTGGGACCTTATATAGACAGGTTTGTGCCTTTCAAATCATGTCTAATCAAATGAATTTACCATAGCTGGACTCCAATCAAGTTGTAGAAACATCACAAGGATGATCAATGGAAACAGGATGCACCTGAGCTAAATTTCGAGTCTCATAGCGAAGGGTCTGACTACTTAAGTAAATAAGGTATTTCTGTTTTTTAAACCTGTTTTTGCTTAGTCATTGTGGGGTATTGTGTGTAGATTGATGGGGGGAAAAAATTATCTAATCAATTTCAGAATAAGGTTGAAACATAACAAAATGTGGAAAAAGTCAAGGGGTCTGAATACTTTCCTAATGCACTGTATATATATATATATATATATATATATATATATACACAGATGAAGTCGGAGGTTTACATGCACCTTACCCACATACATTTAAACATTTTCACAATTCCTGACATTTAATCCTAGTAAAAATGACTCCAACCTAAGTGCGTGTAAACTTCCGACTTCAACTGTATATATACAGCTCTGGAAAAAATTAAGAGACCACTGCAAATTTTTCATAAATCAGCATCTCTACATGTATGACAGCCATTCCATTCCAGTGTCTGTTGAATTCCAACACAGGCACAACTCATTCTACTGAATTAGGTACTGATTAGGTGATCATCTGAACCAAATCTTATTTAACGAGGAAAAGTATAAAAAACACTGCTGTGGTCATCACTATCCTCTTGCAATAGGACCAGCTGGATGGCAAAAACAGTGATAATAGTACCTGGAAAGTAATATTAATCAAAAAATAACTATTGACCATGCCAATAGAGTTGAAAAGGAACGTTTTGAGTGAGGAAAAGAAGGGTTTAATTCTGGCTTTACTGGCAGAGGGATACAGTGAGCGTCAGGTTGCTTCCATCCTTAAGATTTCAAAGACGGCGGTTCATAAGAACAAGGTCAAGCAGTAGACATTGGGGACAACAAAGCTACATACCGGCAGAGGGCGAAAACGACTCTCTACTGACTGGGATGACCGACAACTCATTTGAAAGTCACCCAACAACCGTAGAATGACATCAAGTGACCTACAAAAAGAATGGCAAACGGCAGCTGGGGTGAAGTGCACGGCGAGGACTAGGGGCAGGGCTGAAGTCGTGCAAAGGTAGAAAAAAGCCCTTCATCAATGAGAAGCAAAGAAGAGCCAGGCTGAGGTTTGCAAAATACCATAAGGATTGGGCCGTAGAGGACTGGAGTAAGGTCATCTTCTCTGATGAGTCCAATTTTCAGCTTTTCCCAACACCTCGTTGTCTAATGGTTAGACGGAGACCTGGAGAGGCCTACAAGCCACAGTGTCTCGCACCCACTGTGAAATTTGGTGGAGGATCGGTGATGATCTGGGGGTGCTTCAGCAAGGCTGGAATCGGGCTTTGTGAAGGATGCATTAATCAAGCCACGTACAAGGTTGTCCTGGAAGAAAACTTGCTTCCTTTTGCTCTGACATTGTTCCCCAACTCTGAGGATTGATTTTTCCAGCAGGACAATGCACCATGGCACACAGCCAGGTCAATCAAGGTGTGGATGGAGGACCACCAAATCAAGACCCTGTCATTGCCAGCCCAATCTCCAGTCCTGAACCCCATTGAAAACTTCTGGAATGTGATCAAGAGGAAGATGGATGGTCACAAGCCATCAAACAAAGCCGAGCTGCTTGAATTTTTGCGCCAGGAGTGGCATAAAGTCACCCAACATCAATGTGAAAGACTGGTGGAGAGCATGCTAAGACGCATGAAAGCTGTGATTGAAAATCAGGGTTATTCCACCAAATATTGATTTCTGAAGTTAAAACATTAGTATTGTGTTGTTTAAAAATGAACATGAACTTATTTTCTTTGCATTATTCGAGGTCTGACAACACTGCATCTTTTTTGTTATTTTGACCAGTTGTCATTTTCTGCAAATAAATGCTTTAAATGACTATATTTTTATTTGGAATGTGGGAGAAATGTTGTCAGTAGTTTATAGAATAAAACAAAAATGTTATTTTACCCATACACATACCTATAAATAGTAAAACCAGAGAAACTGATAATTTTGCAGTGGTCTCTTAATTTTTTCAAGAGCTGTATATACACATTGAGTGTACAAAACATTAGGAACACCTTCCTAATATTGAATTGCACCACTTGTTGCCCTCAGAACAGCCTTAATTAGTCGATAAATGGACTCTATAAGGTGTCGAAAGCGTTCCACAGGGATGCTGGGCCATGTTGACTCCAATGCTTCCCACATTTGTGTCAAGATGGCTGGATGTCCTTTGGGTGGTGGACCATTCTTGATACGCACAGGAAACTGTTGAGTGTGAAAAACCCAGCAGCTTTGCAGTTCTTGACACACTCAAACCAGTGCGCCTGGCACCTACTACCATATCCCGTTCAAAGGCACTTCAATTTTTTGTCTTGCCCATTCACCCTCTGAATGGCACACATACAAAATCCATGTTTCAATTGTCTCAAGGTTTAAACATCCTTCTTTAACATGTCTCCTTCCCTTCATCTACACTGATAGAAGTGCATTTAACAAGTGACAATAGCCTTCACCTGGATTCATCTGTTCAGTCTATGTCATGGAAAGAGCATGTGTTCCTAATGTTTTGTACACTCAGTGTGTGTATATATATATATATATATATATATATATATATATATATATATATATATATATATATATGTATGTATATATATATATACAGTGGGGAAAAAAAGTATTTAGTCAGCCACCAATTGTGCAAGTTCTCCCACTTAAAAAGATGAGAGAGGCCTGTAATATTCATCATAGGTACACGTCAACTATGACAGACAAAATGAGATTTTTTTTTCCAGAAAATCACATTGTAGGATTTTTTATGAATTTATTTGCAAATTATGGTGGAAAATAAGTATTTGGTCAAGAAACAAAAGTTTCTCAATACTTTGTAATATACCCTTTGTTGACAATGACACAGGTCAAACGTTTTCTGTAAGTCTTCACAAGGTTTTCACACACTGTTGCTGGTATTTTGGCCCATTCCTCCATGCAGATCTCCTCTAGAGCAGTGATGTTTTGGGGCTGTCGCTGGGCAACACGGACTTTCAACTCCCTCCAAAGATTTTCTATGGGGTTGAGATCTGGAGACTGGCTAGGCCACTCCAGGACCTTGAAATGCTTCTTACGAAGCCACTCCTTCGTTAACCGGGCGGTGTGGTTGGGATCATTGTCATGCTGAAAGACCCAGCCACGTTTCATCTTCAATGCCCTTGCTGATGGAAGGAGGTTTTCACTCAAAATCTCACGATACATGGCCCCATTCATTCTTTCCTTTACACGGATCAGTCGTCCTGGTCCCTTTGCAGAAAAACAGCCCCAAAGCATGATGTTTCCACCCCCATGCTTCACAGTAGGTATGGTGTTCTTTGGATGCAACTCAGCATTCTTTGTCCTCCAAACCCGACGAGTTGAGTTTTTACCAAAAAGTTATATTTTGGTTTCATCTGACCATATGACATTCTCCCAATCCTCTTCTGGATCATCCAAATGCACTCTAGCAAACTTCAGATGGGCCTGGACATGTACTGGCTTAAGCAGGGGGACACGTCTGGCACTGCAGGATTTGAGTCCCTGGCGGCGTAGTGTGTTACTAATGGTAGGCTTTGTTACTTTGGTCCCAGCTCTCTGCAGGTCATTCACTAGGTCCCCCCGTGTGGTTCTGGGATTTTTGCTCACCGTTCTTGTGATCATTTTGACCCCACGGTGTGAGATCTTGCGTGGAGCCCCAGATCGATGGAGATTATCAGTGGTCTTGTATGTCTTCCATTTCCTAATAATTGCTCCCACAGTTGATTTCTTCAAACCAAGCTGCTTACCTATTGCAAATTCAGTCTTCCCAGCCTGGTGCAGGTCTACAATTTTGTTTCTGGTGTCCTTTGACAGCTCTTTGGTCTTGGCCATAGTGGAGTTTGGAGTGTGACTGTTTGAGGTTGTGGACAGGTGTCTTTTATACTGATAACAAGTTCAAACAGGTGCCATTAATACAGGTAACGAGTGGAGGACAGAGGAGCCTCTTAAAGAAGAAGTTACAGGTCTGTGAGAGCCAGAAATCTTGCTTGTTTGTAGGTGACCAAATACTTATTTTCCACCATAATTTGCAAATAAATTAATAAAAAATCCTACAATGTGATTTTCTGGAAAAAAAATCTCAATTTGTCTGTCATAGTTGACGTGTACCTATGATGAAAATTACAGGCCTCTCTCATCTTTTTAAGTGGGAGAACTTGCACAATTGGTGGCTGACTAAATACTTTTTTCCCCACTGTATATATATATATATATATACAGGACCAGTCAAAAGTTTGGACACACTTACACAATCAAGGGTTTTTCTTTATTTTTACTATTTATTTAGAATAATAGTGAAGATATCAAAACTATGAAATAACAGATATGGAATCATGTAGTAACCAAAACAGTGTTAAACAAATCAAAATATATTTTATTATTTACATTTTAGTCATTTAGCAGACGCACTTATCCAGAGCGACTTACAGTTAGTGAGTGCATACATTTTCATTACTGGTCCCCCGTTGGAAACGAACCCACAACCCTGGCGTTGCAAGTGCCATGCTCTACCAACTGAGCTACAGGGGACTACTATATTTGAGATTCTTCAAAGTAGCCACCCTTTGCCTTGATGACATCTTTGCACACTCTTGGCATTCTCTCAACCAGCTTCATGAGGTAGTCATCTGGAATGCATTTTAATAAACAGGTGTGCCTTGTTAAACGTTAATTTGTGGAATTTATTTCCTTCTTAATGTGTTTGAGCCAATCAGTTGTGTTGTGAAAAGGTAGGGGTGGTATACAGAAGATAGCCCTATTTAGTAAAAGACCAAGTCCATGCTATGGCTAGAACAGCTCAAATAAGTATAGAGAAACGACAGTCCATCATTACCTTACGACATGAAGGTCAGTCAATACGGAAAATTCAAGAACTTTGAAAGTTTCTACAAGTGCAGTCGCAAAAACCATCAAGCGCTATGATGAAACTGGCTCTCATGACGACCGCCACAGGAAAGGAAGACCCAGAGTTACCTCTGTTGCAGAGGATAAGTTCATTAGAGTTAACTGCACCTCAGATTGCAGCCCAAATAAATACTTCACAGAGTTCAAGTAACAGACACATCTAAACATTCACTGTTCAGAGGAGACTGCGTGAATCAGTCCTTCATGGTCGAATTGCTGCAAAGAAACTACTACTAAAGGACACCAATAATAAGAAGCGACTTGCTTGGGCCAAGAAACACGAGCAATGGACATTAGACCGGTGGAAATCTGTCCTTTGGTCTGATGAGTCCAAATTTGAGATTTTTTATTCCAACCACCGTGTCTTTGTGAGACGCAGAGTAGGTGAACGGATGTTCTCCGCATGTGTGGTTCCCACCGTGAAGCATGGAGGAGGAGGTGTGATGGTGCCTTGCTGGTGACACTGTCTGTGATTTATTTAGAATTCAAGGCACACTTAACCAGCATGGCTACCACAGCATTCTGCAGCGATACACCATCCCATCTGGTTTGCGCTTAGTGGGACTATCATTTGTTTTTAAACAGGACAATGCTATTTGACCAAGAAGGAGAGTGATGGAGTGATGCATCAGATTACCTGGCCTCCACAATCACCCGACCTCAACCCAATTGAGATGGTTTGGGATGAGTTGGACTGCAGAGTGAAGGAAAAGCAGCCAACAAGTGCTCAGCATATGTGGGAACTCCTTCAAGACTGTTGGAAAAGCATTCCTCATGAAGCTGGTTGAGAGAATGCCAAGAGTGTGTAAAGCTGTCATCAAGGCAAAGGGTGGCTACTTTGAAGAATCTAAAATCTATAAGATATTTTGATTTGTGTAAAACTTTATTGGTTACTACATGATTGTGTTATTTCATGTGTTATAGACGAGTGATGAGATATGTCCATAGTTTTGATGTCTTCACTATTATTCTACAATGTAGAAAATAGTAAAAATAAAGAAAAACCCTTGAATGTGTAGGTGTGTCCAAACTTTTGACTGGTACTGTATATATATATATTCTATATATATATATATATATATATATATATATTTCTTCTTTCTAGCTTTATTTACAAACTGGTGCCTCACCTCCCGATTTCCTTGTGGATGTCATAGTAGTCAGTCAGCCGACGCATCTTCCTGAGAATTGTCTCCTCGTCCTCCATTGGATCCTCCTTGTCTTCTCTAACTGCAGGGTAGCACAAAAGTGAGTGCACACAAGTACAATGTACCCTAATTACAGGCCCATATGTCAGAGTATTCTGCCCCTGAGATAATCACATTCCCAACCGCTAATTTACATTGGCCTCTACATAGCTGCATCTCAACAATCTGACTAATAATTGTCCTTTGTGATCTACCTAAGCAATGATGAAGGGACATTTCACTCCAAAATGAAAGTTTATCCAATGTTTTCAGACCTCAAATGTAGTCTAACGTCAAAATTAATCCAAAACCTACGACATCGGTTGTGTAGATCTGGCTGTCTCCACCCCAAATGAATGGAAATTATAAGCACCCTTTCATTTGGGGATTAAGTCATATAGCTGGATCGACACAACTGATGGCCTAGGATGTGGACATATCTCATCAATCGTCTACTTTTGAGGTCTGAAAACATTGGACAAACTTTCATTTTGGAGTGAAAGGTCCTTTTAATTCATTATCTTTGCTTACACAACTATGCCTCTGTGTCAATACTGGAATGCATATTTGATTGAATGGTATGTAGAGGCTTACCTGTGTGTACGGTGAGCTCAGCCTTACAGGACACAGAGCCAGCCAGGTTCTTGGCTGTGCAGGTATACACCCCTGAGTCTTCCAGACTTGTGTTGAGCACCACGAGGGAGCATTCGTTGTCGTCATACACAAAGGTGATGTGACTACTCTCACACAACAATATATCATCCTGAAACCAAGTAACAATAAGTCACTCTGAATGTAATCTTTTTTACATGAAAATAAACAGCCTAATATGATTACATAGAATGTCAATGTTACCTGTAATTACACACTTAGCATATTAGAACCTAATTTGAAACATAATGTGGACAGTTTCCTGTCACTACAATTCAGTCATTATTTATGTACCTTCTCAGCAGCTACTAGCTGAGTACCTACATACTGGTTATCAGTCTTGTTAGCTATTGAGTAACTACAAGGCATGAGTGTGAAATTAATAAACAGTTCCAATGATATAAACACTCATATGTATGTGTCTCAATTTATGCACCTTAAACCAAAGGATGTCGGGAATGGGCTTGCCCTCCACGACAACAGCCAAGCGAGGCGTATCTCCCATGTGCACATCCACATCCTCCATGATTGACTCAAAGGTTGGCGGTGCTACAGATAGGGAACACGAGAATGTGTTTGATAGTGTTGTCACAATACTCAGTATCTCGAAACTCAAAATATCATTGTAAGGAAACAAAACATGACGCGGACAAAATGTCCAGACGACGTACCTTGCTGCAGCAAGGCATTTAGAAAAAGTAGCTAACTTTTTAATGGCCATAACTGTTGTGGATTAGAAGAGTGTCCCCTTTAAAACAATGCAAAGCGCTTTGAGCTCCTGTAAATAGAGATATATCCAAAAATTCTATCCATTATCACAATCCATCATTATTACACTCACCTGCCATTTCCACACTAAAGATGCAGGAGTCGCTGCCAAACTTGTTGGATGCCACACACATCAGTTGGCCCAAGTCGCCACTCGTCACCCTCAGGATCTTCAGAGAGTGCTGGTCGTCATCGGGCATACTCATCTCATACAGCCCAGGTTTGGTGGCAAGGACCACTCCCCTCCTGAAAGTAGAGAACAAGAAGGCAACTTAGATATCCCATTGTCGGGGTGATGCTACTTTTTGTGGGTAAGAACTTTTGTTGTGTGACTGTTTCACACATTTCCTTGTTTTATCCTAAAGTACTTGGTATTAAAATGACATTTTTGCACACTTGCATTTTTGGGGACTCAATTGTGGTGGCGCAAACAAGAAGGCCAGGTGCTTTTCAAATACAGGTAAAAACAATTACTAAGAGTTGATTGATGGCTCAGTGTGTTTGTGGGTTTGATTCCCACATGGGTCACATACAGTGCATTCGAAAAGTATTCAGACCCTTTCACTTTTTCCACATTTGGTTACGTTACACCCTTATTCTAAAATGAATTAAATTGTTTTTTTTCCTACCTCATCAATCTACACACAATACTCCATAATGACAAAGCAAAAACAGTTTTTTGGGGGGCAAATGTTTTACAAATAAAAAACTGAAATATAACATTTACATAAGTATTCAGACCCTTTACTAAGTACTTTGTTGAAGCACCTTTGGCAGTGATTACAGCCTCGAGTCTTCTTGGGTATGACACTACAAGCTTGGCACACCTGTATTTGGGGAGTTTCTCCCATTCTTCTCTGCAGATCCTCTCAAGCTCTGTCAGGTTGGATGGGGAGCGTCACTGCACAGCTGTTTTCAGGTCTCTCCAGAGATGTTCGATTGGGTTCAAGTCCGGGCTCTGGCTTGGCCACTCAAGGACATTCAGAGACTTGTCCCGAAGCCACTCCTGCACTGTCTTGGCTGTGTGAAGGTGAACCTTCGCCCCAGTCTGATGTCCTGAGCGCTCTGGAGCAGGTTTTCATCAAGGATCTCTCTGTACTTTGCTCCGCTCAACTTTCCCAAAATCTTGACTAGTCTCCCAGTCCCTGCCGCTGAAAAACATCCCCACAGCATGATGCTGCCACCACCATGCTTCACCGTAGGGATGGTGCCAGGTTTCCTCCAGACATGACGCTTGGCATTCAGGCCAAATAGTTCAATCTTGGTTTCATCAGACCAGAGAATCTTGTTTATCATGGTCTGAGAGTCCTTTAGGTGACTTTTGTCAAATATTTTAGTCCAGGTCATTTTTTTACTTTGAAGTGGCTGGATGCCCTTTGGGTGGTGGACCATTATTGATACACCCAGGAAACTGTTCAGTGTGAAAAACCCAGCAGCGTTACAGTTCTTGACACACTCAAACCGGTGCGCCTGGCACCTACTACCATACCCTGTTCAAAGGTACTTCAATCTTTTGTCTTGCCCATTTGTCCTCTGAATGGTACACATACCATGTCTTAATTGTCTCAAAGCTTAAACATATTTCTCTACCCTGTCTCCTCCCCATCATCTACACTGATTGAAATTGATTTAACAGGTGACATCAATAAGGGATCATAGCTTTCACTGGATTCATGTGGTCAGTCTGTCATGGAAAGAGCAGGTGTTCCTAATGTTTTATACACTCAGTGTATTTGACCGCAACTCTACATTATTAATAGAGTATCAGGTGTAGTGATCCAGTGCGTGACTTGCCTCTTCCAGATTACTGCAGCGTTGATGTGGTTCAGAGTTATAGTGATGCTGACTGACTGGTTCTCCTGCACATAGACCATGTCTGGCTTATCAATTATGACTGGAGCCTCCTGAAGATATGGACCTTGGGAGATATAAAATCATGTAAAGGGATAGTTCATCTAAATAAAAAAATTACATATTTGTTTCCTTTCCTTGTCAGCAGTCTTTAGACAAGGAGAGAGTGAAATCCATGCTTTTTTAGTTATCAGCCCCTGCCACCAACCAATATAAGCATCATGTCATCAATTCATGTTGCCCTCACTTGATGGCTCATACCTCTTTCGACAAGTTGCACTGGGTCTGTGGACGGAGAGGGTTTGCTAAAGGCCTTGGTTGTGATTGACAAGACCCTGAAGGTGTAGCGGACTCCTTTGGAGCAAGTGGTCACTGTGTAGCAAGGCTCTTTCAAACTGGACGCTATGACGGTCCACTGGTTCGAGCCGAGCGCTTGTTGTTGGATGGCATACATCAACGTGTTGGGATCTGCAATGACAAACATATACATTTTCAATGTGTGAATGCATGTAGACAGAGCATGACTTTGACCAGCTGTGTAGATGGCCGATGGAATGGCATTCAAACAAAATTAAATTGAACGTGTACTAGATGTTTTCCTGTACTAGAAAAACGGATGTATAACAAAACAAAATGCAATTTAGATGTGCTTGAACTGTTATATTCCCACACTGCAGATTTGTATGAACCCCATCACCGATACCGTCTACCCGCAGCCGCATCTTATTCAATATTCTTAAACAATAAATTATTCACCCTGGTGCTGTGCTTTCGATTTTAGACTATGACTTGGCAAAACTAAATGCAGTAAAGATATATCATTCTTCAGTTTTACATTTTTATTTTATTTTTATTTATATATTTTTTTACAATTGTCTAGCAGCTCTAGCTCTTGAAATACAGGAAACCATGGCTCCACAGTCCACATTATATTGAATGATAGTAATGCTAGTGAAAAGAAAATGACCAATAGAGGGATCCAGCCTCCGGGGTTTCTTCCAGCTCAGGGTGATAGTCTTGCCAGTAACAGTCTCTATTACTGGGGGCCCATCTGGAGGGTCTGGAAGAACGTCTGAAAATAACCAAACAGCAATAGATTTATGATTTAACACTACAAGTGTTTAACACCATAAGTGTTCACTTTTAAGTGTTCAATCACCTTCATATTATACAGTATCCCTTTATCACCTCCCCTACAGTAAATAGCTAAGTTGAATAGGAGGATAAGCATTTTATCATAGGTTTGCACGTTTGTTAAAAGCACAAGGTGCCTAATTCCATCAACACTGTAATTCAAGTTAATGGGGAATGGTGAAATCCCCTTCTTGTGCATGCATCAAGATCCCAAATTGACCCCTAGCCCCTTGGCACTCCTCTAGAACTGAAACAATTGGATAGGTACGCGCAATATGGTGAAAATTCTACCCAGTCGAGGCAAAGCAAGGCAAACCTATGTAATTGCTTTGTTGCTTAAACCTATCAGATTATTTCAGATCTACAGGAGTACTATGGGGGTAGGGGCTATATGGGGTTGATTTGGGATTCAGCAACAGACTATACTCTCTTGACAATGTTGATAAAATGTCAACTGACTTAAAATGGCTCTTAGGCAATATGAGGCCCATACATGCACATGACAATGGACAATGTCTTACAATGCATTATAACTGTATAATAGTGCATTATACATGTAGGTTGGAAGTAAGTATTAGCAAAAAATCATCTGGGATTCCTCACCAGTCACGTAGAGATGGGCGTAGCAGGTGGCCTTGCCCACCTTGTTGGAGATTACGCTCTTGTATACCCCTCCGTGGGCGTGGCAGACAGAGTGGATGACCAAGCTGTGGATGTCTCTGACTGGAAGAGAGGAACAGCACAGGGGTGAGTTTCTCAAAGCCTTGATAGCATTAAGATAATCGTTATATCCTGCTGAAAGTGCATTTTTTGAATCCAAGCTGTGCAACAAAAAACAATGTTGCACTTAAACTGATTAACCCCCTAAAGTCGATTGACACACCGGTAACATCATAAAAAAATCCCCATCAAAATCCGACAATATAACCTAGAGATATCAGTTTTTTTGCATTGAATGTGTCAAGTGTGTTAACCCTCGCAAAGCTGCCAGCCCAGAAGGCATCCCAAGCCATGTCCTCATGTGCAAACCAGCTGGCTGCAGTGTTTACGGACATATTCAATCTCTCCCTATCCCAGTTTGTTCTCCCCACTTGCTTTAAGATGTCCACCATTGTTTCTGTACCCAAGAATGTGAAGGTAACTGCACTCTGTCATCATGAAGTGCTTTGAGAGGCTACTGAAGGATCATATCACTTCCACCTTACCCAACACCCTAGACCCACTACAATTTGCATATCGCCCCAACAGATCCACGGATGACGCAATCACCATTGCACTGCACATTGCCCTGTACCACCTGGACAAGAGGAATACCTATGTATGAATGCTGTTCATTGCCTACAGCTCAGCCTTCAACACCATAGTGCCCTCCAAGCTCATCACTAAGGGCCATGGGTCTGAACCCCTCCCTGTGCAACTGGGTCCTAGGTGGTGAAGGTTGGAAACAACACATGCGCCACACTGATCCTCAACACGGAGGCCCCATAGGGGTGCATGCTCAGCCCCCTCCTGTACTTCCTGTTCACCCATGACTACGTGGCCATGCACGTCTCCAACTCAATCTTCAAGTTGGCTGACGGCCCGACAGTGATAGGCCTGACAGCTTACAGGGAGGAGGTGAGAGCCCTGGCGGAGTGGTGCCAGGAAAATCACCTCTCCCTCAATGTCAACAAAACGAAGGAGCTGATCCTGGACTAAAGGAGACAGCAGAGAGAGCACGCCCCCATCCACATCGACAGGGCTGCAGTGGAGAGGGTCAAAATCTTCAAGCTCCTCATCGTGCACATCACTGAGGACATGAAATGGTCCCTTCACGCCGACAGCGTGGTGGAGAAGGTGCAACAGCGCCTCTTCAATCTCAGGAGGCTGAAGAAATTTGGCTTGGCCCCTAAGATCCTCATGAACTTCTACAGATGCACCATCAAGAGCATTATGTCGGGCTGTATCACTGCCTGGTATACCCACAACCGCAGGGCTCTGCAGAAGGTGGTGCGGTCATCCCAACGCATCATCGGAGGCACACATTTTACAAATTGCATATTTACATACTGGACTCTTGAAATAGCTCACTCTAATATATCTACTGTTGTACATACCATTCTTAGTATATATTGTGTAAATAAATCTGGTGTAAGTACAGTGCATTCGGAAAGTATTGAGACCACTTCACTTTTTACACATTTTGTTACGTTACAGCTTTATTCTAAAATTGAGTAAATTGTTGTTGTTTTTTCCCTCATCAATCTACCCACAATACCCCATAATGACAAAGCAAAAAACAGGTTTTTAGAAATGTTTGCAAATAAAAAAGACTCTACAAGAGAATCTTGTTTCTCATGGTCTGAGAGTCCTTAGGTACCTTTTGGCAAACTCCAAGCTCATGTGCCTTTTACTGAGGACTGGCTTCCCGTCTGGCCACTCTACCATATAGGCCTGATTGGTAGAGTGCTGCAGAGATGGTTGTCCTTCTGGAATGTTCTCCCATCTCCACAAAGGAACTCTAGAGCTCTGTCAGAGTGACCATCGGGTTCTTGGTCACCTCCCTGACCAAGGCCCTTCTCCCCCGATTGCTCAGTTTGGCCGGTTGGCCAGCTCTAGGAAGAGTCTTGTTGGTTCCAAACGTCTTCCATTTAAGAATAATGGAGGCCACTGTGTTCTTGGGGACCTTCAATGCTGAAGAAATGTTTTGGTACCCTTCCCCAGATCTGTGCCTCAACACAATCCTGTCTCAGAGCTCTACGGACAATTCCTTCGACCTCATATCTTGGTTTTTGCTCTGACAGGCACTGCCAGCAGTGGGACGTTATATAGACTGGTGTGTGCATTTCCAAATCATGTCCAATTAAATGAATTTACCACAAGTGGACTCCAATCAAGTTGTAGAAACATCTCAAGGATGATAAATTGAAACAGGATGCACCTGAGCTCAATTTCAAGTCTCACAGCAAAGGTACTGAATACTTATGTAAATAAGGTATTTCTGTTTTTGCTAACATTTCTAAAAACCTGTTTTCACTTTGTCATTATGTGGTATTTTGTGTACTGTAGATTGATGAGGACATTTTTCTATTTTAGAAATTTTAGAAAAAGAATAATGTAACAAAATGTGGAAAAGGGGAAGGGGTCTGAATACTTTCCGAATGCACTGTACGTATAGATTGCATTTAGATTACTGTTACAATGGTGCTATTTGGGTTGTTCATTCGTTTCTTGATAAAACAGTTATTTAGTTATTATTATTTGTGTAATTGTTTGACATTAACTGAATTTCGCTGCACCCGCTATAACTTCTGATAAACTGTGTACGCGACCAATACAATTCGTTTTTATTTGATTTGTTGAAGTTGATGTTTATCTTATAGAGCTGGATTTATAAAATACTAATCTCAACTCACACTGTGTCATTTTCCTGTCCTCCGTGCTGTCAATTCTCTTGCCGTTGTGGAACCACACAATGGTGGGGTACGGCAGGCCAGCCACCTTACACTTGAGCACGGCCTCCTTGCCCTCGATCACGTCAAGGTCGTACAGGGGCTTGACAAAGTCAGGCATGGTGAAGCGCTCAACCTCGTTGTCCGGCACCTCGGGCTCCTCTGGGATGGACGGCATCTTCTCTAGCTTTGCCCTTTGGAGGGATGGAGGGACGGAGGTGAGAGAGAGAGGGAAGGAGGTGAGAGAGAGAAGGGGGAGGGAAGAAGGGAAGGGAGGTTACTATTTGGCAAGACATCACCCAAAACAAACTGTAAATGCACCAGCAACATATTTGTAGAGTCAAAAGCTTAATGTAGTCATTGCGTGCAAGGATTGTGAGACCAAATACTAAACATTTGACTACTTATACACTATAGTGAATTTGATTTCTTTATATGGATACATAAAAGTGATTTTATGTCTCAATGGTAAAACAGATATGTATGAAAATACACACAAATAAAAGGTGACATTCTGTTCTAGAACAATATATTAATTATTTGATTTCAAATCCAAAATACTGGAGTACAGAGCCAAAATATAAAATGTAGCTTCATTGTCCATATTCAGTACTGGTACAGTGCCTTCGGAAAGTAATCAGACCCCTTGACTTTTTCCACATTTTGTTACATTACAGCCCTATCCTAAAATGGATTTTAAAAAATCCTCAGCAATCTACACACAATATCCCATAATTACAAAGCGAAAACAGGTTTTTAGAAATGTTAGCAAATGTATTAAAAATAAAAAACAGAAATACCTTATTTACATAAGCATTCAGACCCTTTGCTATGAGACTCGAAAAAATTGAGCTCAGGTGCATCCTGTTTCCATTGACCGTCTCTTATGACCAAAAAGAGCTTCTGGATATTAGGACAGCGATTACTCACCTCGTATTGGACAATTGGATTTTTCCTTCAAGGAGTCAGACATAAAGGATATTCTACAGACACCCGACAAGGCACAAATCCCTGTCACTCGCATAAGAAAGAGACGGAGATATCATGGACGTAGGTCGGGGTGCCTTGTAAGGATCTGACGGCGAACGAGTAAGCTGCCTCTTCCATCAATCCCATTAGCCAACGTACAATCATTTGAAAACAAAATTGACAACCTAAGATCAAGAATATCCTACCAAAGGGACATAAAAAACTGTAATATCTTATTTTTCACCGAGTCGTGGCTGACCGATGACATGGATAACTTACAGCTGATGGGATATACGCTACATTGGCAGGATAGAACGTCTGACTCCGGTAAGACAAGGGGTGGTGGTCTGTGTATATTTGTAAACAACAGCTGGTGCATAAAATCTAATACTAAGGAAGTCTCAAGGTTTTGCTCGCCTGAGGTAGAGTATCTCATGATAAGCTGTAGACCACACTATTTACCAAGAGAGTTTTCTTCTATTTTTTTTCGTAGCTGTCTATTTACCACCACAAACCAATGCTGGCACTAAGATTGCACTCAAAGAGCTGTATAAGGCCATAAGCAAACAGGAAAACGCTCATCCAGAGGCAGCGCTCCTAGAGGCCTGGGACTTTAATGCAGTGAAACTTAAATCCATTCTACCTAATTTCTACCAGCATGTTAAATGTGCAACCAGAGGAAAGAATCTCTAGACCACCTTTACTCCACACACAGAGACGTATACAAAGCTCTCCCTCGCCCTCCATTTGGCAAATCTGACCATAATTCTATCATCCTGATTCCTGCTTATGAGCAAAAACTAAAGCAGGAAGCACCAGTGACTTGGTTAATAAGGAAGTGGTCAGATGAAGCAGATGCTAAGCTACAGGACTGTTTTGCTAGCACAGACTGGAATATATTCTGGGATTCTTCCGATGGCATTGAGGAGTAAACCACATCAGCCACTGGCTTCATCAATAAGTGCATCGATGACGTCGTCCCCACAGTGACCGTATGTTCATACCCCAACCAGAAGCCATGGATTACAGGTAACATCCGCACTGAGCTAAAGGGTAGAGCTGCCGCTTTCAAGGAGCGGGACTCTAACCCGGACGCTTATATACAGCCCCAACAGATACACAGATGACGCAATCTCTATTGCACACCCACGTGAGAATGCTGTTCATTGACTACAGTTCAGCGTTCAACACCATAGTGCCCTCAAAGCTCATCACTAAGCTAAAGACCCTGGGACTAAACACCTCCCTCTGCAACTGGATCCTGGACTTCCTGAAGGGCTGCCCCCAGGTGGTAAGGGTAGGTAACAACACATCTGCCACGCTGATTCTCAACACGGGGGCCCCTCAGGGGTGCATGCTCAGTCCCGTCATGTTCACCCATGACTGCATGGCCAGGCACGACTCCAACACCATCATTAAGTTTGCCGACGACACAACAGTGGTAGGCCTGATCACCGACAACGATGAGACAGCCTATAGGGAGGAGGTCAGAGACCTGGCCGTGTGGTGCCAGGATAACAACCTCTCCATCAACGTGATGAAGACAAAGGAGATGATTGTGGACTACGGGAAAAAAAAGAGGACTGAGCATGCCCCCATTCTCATCGACGGGGCTGTAGTGGAACAGGTTGAGAGCTTCAAGTTCCTTGGTGTCCACATCACCAACAAACTAAATTGGTCCAAACACACCAAGACAGTCGTGAAGAGGGCACGACAAAGCCTATCCCCCCTCAGGAGACTGAAAAGATTTGGCATGGGTCCTCAGATCCTCAAAAAGTTATACAGCTGCACCATAGAGAGCATCCTGACTGGTTGCATCACCGCCTGGTATGGCAACTGCTCGGCCTCCGACTGCAAGGCACTACAGAGGGTAGTGCGTAAGCCCCAGTAAATCACTGTGGCCAAGCTTCCTGCCATCCAGGACCTCTATACCAGGCGGTGTCAGAGGAAGGCCCTAAAAATTGTGAAAGACTCCAGCCACCCTAGTCATAGACTGTTCTCTCTGCTACCGCCAAGCGGTACCGTAGCACCAAGTCTAGGTCCAAAAGGCTTCTTAAAAGCTTCTACCCCCAAAGCCATAAGACTCCTGAACAGCTAATCATGGCTACCCAGGACTATTTGCATTGTCCCCCCCCCCACCGCACCCCCTCATTTATGCTCCTGCTACTCTGTTTATTATCTATGCATAGTCATTTTAACTCTACCCACATGTACATATTACCTCAATTACCTCGACTAACCGGTGCCTCTGCACATTGACTCTGTACCGGTACCCCTTGTATATAGCCTCCCTACTGTTATTTTATGTTACTGCTGCTCTTTAAGTAAAAAATATAAATAAATAAAAATTATCTATTTTTAATTAACACTTTTTTTTTTTTTAAACTGCATTGTTGGTTAAGGGCTTGTAAGAGTATTTCACTGTATGGTCTACACTTGTTGTATTCGGCGCATATAGCAAATACAATTGTACTTTATTTTTGTACTCAAGGCTGTAATCGCTGCCAAAGGTGATTCAACAAAGTACTGAGTAAAGGGTCTGAATAATTATGTAAATGTGATATTTCAGTGTTTTATGTTTTTTTACAAAAATGTCTAAATACCAGTTTTTGCTCGGTCATTATGGGGATTGTGTGTAGATTAATGAGGGAAAAAACAATTTAATCAATTTTAAAATGAGACTGTAACGTAACAAAATGTGGAAAAAGTCAAGGGGTCTGAATACTTTCCAAATGCACTGTATATACAGATGAAGGATCTTAATTTGACCCATTTTGCTACAGCAGGGAAATAATCCTGCAGCAACAGGAAATTTGAATTATTATGTGGATTATAATTAATGGACAATTTTTGTAGGGGTTGATACATTTTTTGTCAAGGCAAATCCAGTCTGACATTTTAAAGTGGAAATTACAAACTTTAGAAGCCTTTTTGGTAAGTTGCCCCTGTTGCTATGTAACTAAAACAGTAATAACTGTGTTAACAACATAGTAGTTACATAGATTTTTACTATGTAATTACATGTTAATATGACCCTGTTACATGTAACTACAACGTGCCACAACCATCAAATCCACATGGATTACCAGGGTTTCTAAATAGGCTAGGACCTGGTAACAACAATTGTAACAACGCACCCCCTGTCAAAAACTACCGGTCATTTTCAATTAGTTTATTTCTGTGTTATGACCTGGCTCAAAGGCTATAGCGAATCATGTGTAATGTAAGATCAATGTAGTTACATAGGATATACTTGTAATTATCATGTACAGTTGAAGTCGGAACTAGTCATTAAAACTAGTTTTTCAACCACTCCACAAATTTCTTGTTAACAAATTGTAGTTTTGGCAAGTCGGTTAGGACATCTACTTTGTGCATGATACAAGTAATTTTTCCAACAATTGTTTAGACATATTTCACTTATAATTCACTGTATCACAATTCCAGTGGGTCAGAAGTTTACATACACAAACTTGACTGTGCCTTTAAACAGCTTGGAAAATTCCAGAAAATGATGTCATGGCTTTAGAAGCTTCTGATAGGCTAATTGACATCATTTGAGTCAATTGGAGGTGTACCTGTGGATGTATTTCAAGGCCTAACTTCAAACTCAGTGCCTCTTTGCTTGACGTCATGGGAAAATCAAAATAAATCAGCCAAGACCTCAGAAAAAGAATTGTAGACCTCCACAAGTCTGGTTCATCCTTGGGAGCAATTTCGAAACGCCTGAAGGTACCACGTTCATTTCTACAAACAATAGTACGCAAGTCTAAACACCATGGGACCACACAGCCGTCATACCGCTCAGGAAGGAGACGCGTTCAGTCTCCTAGAGATGAACGTACTTCGGTGCGAAAAGTGCTAATCAATCCCAGAACAACAGCAAAGGACCTTCTGAAGATGCTGGAGGAAACAGGCACAAAAGTATCTATATCCACAGTAAAACAAGTCCTATATCGACCTAACCTGAAAGGCCGCTCAGCAAGGAAGAAGACACTGCTCCAAAACCGCCATAAAAAAGCCAGACTACGGTTTGCAACTGCACATGGGGACAAAGATCGTACTTTTTGGAGAAATGTCCTCTGGTCTGATGAAACAAAAATAGAACTGTTTGGCCATAATGACCATCGTTATGTTTGGAGGAATAATGGGGCGGCTTGCAAGCCGAAGAACACCATCCCAACCGTGAAGCACGGGGGTGGCAGCATC